TCGTGATCTTTACGTAATCTTACTGCTTATTCTACTATAGTTAAAAAAGAAAAATAAACTGACAAAATATAAATGATTATAACAATTCAGACTGAACTTAATGTCACGCACGCGCATAAAAGACGAGAGAAAAAGCTTTTATATTATAACATAACTAAGGTGAGGGATCAATAAGATAATTAAGTATATTATTTACTAAACAAACAACATTAATGAGTGTATGATTACTGATTAATAAACTACATCTAAAGGCTACTTACAAACTACTTAAAATCCTATGACCAACAACTGAGAACCCACGCTTTATACCATTACCATTGCAACTCGATCCATTATCACAGTGGGTGATGTGGTTAATTAAGCTAAAGCTAATATTAAGCTAGTTATTCTAACATAGAAGGATAGTTGAGAAAAATAATATTTGTTGGAAATGGAAATCTAAAAATCTCATCAAGCTGCTGCGTCTGCATAAACTCCATGGAATCAAAGTATGGAGGTGACTGAGGAAATTGACCCTCAGATAATTTCATATACAAAAATGTATGATTTTTTACCGTGAACACAATTAAATTACGACAATATAATTGTGTTGACGGTAAAAATCACAGCAATACGGTTGTTCAATGTTATTATATACACGTTTATATCCAACAACCGTAAATTATGTTTGCCGTTTTCATTTTTATGTCAGAGGGGGCAGACGAGCACCGGCCTTTTAGCGAGGAGTACGCTCTTTCCTTAAAGGTTTGAAGGTCGTATCGGTCCGGAAATACCGCAGATGATAACAGATTGGTTGAGTGAGGCAAAAAGTGCCTCGAAAAGCGTACATTAGTCGGGCGCCAACTATCCAGGTGATGAGGAAGAAAATTTTGCCGTGTGGAACGATGGCGGAAAGTTGCGGCTGGTATTAGTCCGAACAATTCCTCGGAGTACTCTCCGTGATATATGCGATAGAGAATGCAGAGTGAAGCCACTCTGCATTCTCTATCGCATAATAACGCCAAGGGATCGAGCCGATCGGAGATGTTTGGGCTACCGAATATTCGAGTCGCTCTTCGTTGGATGCGGTCCAGAGGGAAAAGCTGGTACTGAGGTGCCCCTGCATAGTCATGAAAACAGTATTCCAAATGCGGCCGGACTCCATTGACAGTATTTGAAAATAAGTAGTCAATTATGGTTTATATAGGACATGTTAAGTTCAAAAGTGCCTGGATAATGGTGTAACTTTAGACTGTACTGCACATGAACCGTTAAATTTTATCCCTTCCCTTTGTAAAAATAAAAAAATTATAAAATAAAATAAGAAAAAGTTTGACAGGACTTACAACGCATTAATCTTATGCAAAATTGGCTTACTTGGCTATCACTTAACTACCTATAAGTATAAGTAAATCTAATAAAACTACGTTACTTCTCAATTCTAGAATAAAATAATAATCAACTATCAAATCCATTTGACTAAATAACACTGTTTTAAAAAAAATGTTAAGAGATTCTAAACTAAAAGGTATAATGCGCATGTTCTATGATATTACATTTACAGTTCTGAAACCTGAAGCAAATCTAGTAGATTACAATTACTACTGGTTGACAAATGAAAATACTTACGAAATCGAATACTTCAAATTTGACAGGTACAATGTGTATATGAAGAGAAGAGGTAAGGAAAACCGTGTTATATGGGGGAAAAGTTCAAAAGGGGTCTAGCTATGAACAGTAAATAATAGACTTGCAACGAATAGTATATTCGGCAGTATACCGAATACCGAATATTCGGCGAGGCCCCTGACCGAATAGCCGAATATTAGGCAAAAGTATTCGGCTGGATTTTAGCGCCAAAAACTTGTACAGACGTGAATTAAATTATGTACCTGTTTTATGTACCAATGACTACTTAATAAATGATTATAAAAGAAATGAGAACCTTACCCTTCTAAATGTTGATTACCACAATAATTCAAATACATAGAATCCTCCATTTTTCCTATTCAGAAGATGATTATGTAGCTGTGTTATGCACCAATGACTACTTAAATGATTATAACAGAAATGAAAATATGAATATATACGTAATTAATCGATTTTAATTTTTCATTTTACCAATTATTTCTCAATGACAAAATATATTATTTAAGTATTCGGTATTCGGCCGAATAATATGTAGATATTCGGTATTCGGCCGAATATAATAAAAGCAGCCGAATAGGCCGAATACCGAATAGTAACCGAATATTCGTTGCAAGTCTAGTAAATAATAGTTCTAAAACCGTCCAGAGGTTCTAAAACCGCTAGTGTAGCCAATTGGAATGACATTAACATAGCGGTTATAGACGGAGTGAAGTTTGATGAGTTGTTTTTTTTTATCTTGATGCTACTGTAGCGCCCCCAATTTAACGCATTTTGAGGGAAACTTTTCATACACAAACGGTTCTCGTTACTTCTACCCTCCATAAATGTGTAAAAATTGCTATTAGGTCACACAAAGACAGCTAATAAATACTAAATCATAGGTAGTTAGTAGAATACTGTTTTTAAAATGATAAATATAATAATAGTCCAGTAAAGTTTATGAGGATTGAATAATAGCCGATACGAATTTAAGATGAATGAATAAGATCGGTTTTACCATGACTATCGTAAACAGGCCGATGACTATCAAAATAAGATGACTAAATCTTTGCATTTGTCTTTTTGTTTATAAATATTTTTATTATTTACATTTTTTATCTATCAATCACAAAACTCAAAGTAGGCAAGATCGTTATGAGTTAGGGGAAAATTATCATAGTAATTATAATAGTTACAAATTTAAGAACAGTTTTGTTTTCGCTTCAGAACACGGGTTTTTTTTCGCGGGAGCGAAAGCGCAACACAATTTCGTCGTTAAGAGTACGTTATATACCTACGTAGAAACGATAATAAGAACACCAAATCGACCTATTTAAATACAAATGTTTGCACAAATGAAACCCTTGCCGTTGCAAGTGTATTTTTTATTTTTATAAGAAGCCATCGCGGAAACGGCTGCCTGCTGACCTACAACTCAAAGTCACAAAAGCGTTTTTGCCAGCCTTTTAAAGACTTCAAGAAAATACACTATTTTCTTGAGGGTTTGAAATAAGTTTGAGATAATCATTTTTTTTTAAGTCTGTGGTAAAACAGTGCCTTAAAAATAATTAGCAGTCAAAGACGGAATTATATTTTTTGGACGGTTGTAACCGGACTAAGAAGCAGTGCTCTCCTAACTTTAATGGATAGTATTCGTGAATTGACGGATGTCGTAGAATAATATTAGTTCTAAATTAATTGGGAAATTATCATTGATAATTATTGCACATAAAACAAACACCATATTATGTGTTACTTAAAATTAGATATCTTCATTATACGTCAAAGAATAAAACTACTGAGCAGTGAAGAAAGTATAAAATTGCCTTCACACTTAAATGCTTATTATAATATAGGGTGTGTACTGTACTGGGTGTGTGTAATTCTGTACTGAATGGTTTAATGGTGGCATTCATTAAAAAAATCAAGGTTTACTTAAACCTAGTCATTCGTAAATTTCATATTGAAATCATAAAAAAAAATTCATAATTAAATCATACTTATAAAAAATATATAATACATAAATATCAAGATATTTACTATCTTTTTTTTAGCAATGAATTATTTCTTTTTGAGCCAATTTGATTAAATTTTGTTATAGTTATCAAAAAATAAATTTTAATGTTTGAGCGTTTACATATTAATCAGTATGTTGTATTTTTCGTAAAACCATCTTCAGTTTTAAGTATTTCAGGGCAACATTTTTAGCCACTTATTTTCAGTTTGGCTTTGAAGTAGTAATTATGATAATTTATTAAGTATAAAAAAAAGATCTTGTCAAAGTTGTCACTTTTGTCACAAATTTTAATTTTTTATGCTATTTTTGGTAGCCATTGAAAGAAGGCTGGCGATACGTTCAGCAGTACTTTTTGAAGCGCTGAAAAATGGCGATATAATTTTTAAAAGATATCTACTACGAAAATGTATTATTACCTACTTACACTTGACAGAATAATTTGAAGAATTATAAACCTTGTTCCCTGACAATAAATAATATGAGTGTGCCAAGGACAAATAAAATAAATGTCGCTAGAATATCCCTTTATCTTGTCCATCTTTTAAAATACTTTTGATGGCGATTATCTATGTTTTTGACAAATTCTAATGCAAATTCTATAACAGTGGATAATATTAATGCCGTTAAACTTCAAATTTTTAGTATTTTTCTAAAAAAACATCATCCGATCGAAATTTACTACAGACCCAGTTTTGAGGAAATTTGTTACCGATCCACATTTTTTTTTTAATTTCCTTTAATTAACTTGCAATATAATTAGAAGAAATTTTGAATTATTATGTTGTATTATTATTATATATTTATTATTATTATATATATGTATTATTATTTGATGAATTTGTTCCAATTAAAAAAATGTCCTAAAAAGATATTGCTTTTTACTTCGGCGAAAGTCAATAGAATAAATTATTTGGATATAAGCGACATCAGCGTCTTAAAATCCAATTTTTAATAAAACAGTACTGTATTCCTTTCCAAGATCTAACAACTACATCAAAATAAAAAAACATCTCATCATATATATTTTTGCATTCTATCTATCCATCTATTTTCCTAATGGTTTAGAAAAAAGTATGCCTGGTCATGAAGCGACATGATAATAGACTTAATACCTTTATCTGGCGCTGATAATCCATTTCTAAATCACAGCTTTTCAGTTCCAATAAACATGATAACGGCAATCCAAAGATCGAAGATTAGATTGTTATTTCAATTGTAATCGGATTTAATGGGTGGTGTTTCGTACTGCCTAATGATTTCCTGTTTTATCTGTCGATCTTTGACACACAGAGTATTTATGTGGTACTAACATACACAAATGAAAAAAGGCATTTAAGCACAGTGCCTGTAACCGCTCCTTCTCACTTTTCCTGTACTATGAAGATTGAGTAATCCTCGGGTTGCGGGGGCACTGCATCAGATGCCTTTGCCAAGGTAGGTCACGCGCCAGAACGTTGGTGAAACAGTAAGGGCACTTCCATTCATCCATACCCAGAGCTGAAAATACAATTTATCATTAACGAATGAACTATACTATTGTACTCTACTAAGTACTTAGCATAGCATTTCCGTGTGCTGACGGACGGACCTATATTCATCTCGTGGGTATCGTAAGGGACGACTAAAGGAGCTAACTCTGCAGGGTAACGACACTGCAAAGAGAAGGAAAACTTGAAACAAACCTTATAACAACCCGTCTGGCCAGCGAGATATAGTAGGCCAACCTCCTTTCTAAGGAGAGGCCTATTTGCAACACTGCAGTGGACTATTAAATGCTGTTGATAAAGATGAAGTACTTAGCAAACCTCAACCTATTACGTGTAGTTCAACTACAACAACGTATTATTTATTATTATACGCTGAACAAATTCGTAGAAACATTTAAATTGATCTTGCGCCATCAGACGTTGCAGTGGAATGTAACGAGAGACATTCTCAAAACATTCCCGAGAATTTGTTTAAGTTTCGTTGGATTACTTTTAAAGCCAGGTAGGATATAAAGAACTTACGTATGCAGTTTGCGTGATAATCGGTGTCATCAGCTCGCAGTGCAGCTCCGCAGGATTGGCACGCCTTCCAGCTTCCCTCACTCATGGTACACTCTTCTGTGAATAAACATCAATGACTTTACTAATCGTATTACAAGCAGTATTGGGAATCTTGGATATTCGGAAATTAATTTTGTCTGATAATTTTTGGAACGAAGTTCCTTATCGCACGTTACACGCCCTGAGCGGATGAGAGCGAGTCCGAAAAATGTGTAACAATTTTCTTCCGACACTATAGCAAACGTCCAAGAAAAAGCGAAAAGTACTTCGTTCCAACCGGGGGTCCGTAGACCCCTGAAGCCGTTTTTACTTATTATTTATCGATTGAGTTCTTTTACAGATTTAGATTTTACTACTGTAAAATCTAACAGGTACTCGTACGTACCTGTGATATACAGCAATAGGCTTACACTGTATTTAAACGTAGCGTATATTGGGTTAGATAGATATATTACGTGGGGCATACTGAAAGTTTCTGGATCTGGCCACTAAAGAATCAGAATCATAAAGAATCAGAATCATATTTATTTGCATATGACACAATAAAAATAGAATATATATGACACAATAAAAATAGATATAAAAAAGAAATAAAAAAGTTTAACGGAGGACAGCCATTGACAGTCTTTAATATAGTCACAGGTGACGACACCTGGGTGTACAGCTTTAAACCCGAAAGAAAAAGCCAGTCGGCAATGTGGGCCTTTCTTCTTAGAGATTTGCTAACGAAAGTTAAGAAAAGTTTGATAAAAAATGGTTACACTACATGGTTTAGGACATTACACTACATTATCGCTTGAAGATCAAAGACTGCAGATTGGTACGTCAACACTTGCTTGCCCAAAGTCATAGAAAAAGCAATGTCCTCCTTCACCACGATAACGCATCCTCACATTCCACTAAGGTAACAGAAGCCTATTTGAAGCCTACAAATGTGGAACTGATGACGCATCCGCCTTATAGCCTGGACCTCGCACCCTGCGACTTCTTTTTCTCGCTTTACGAGCCCTGAATCGGTGAATGCGTTCCATGAAGCCATTGAAGAGGTCCTTAAGGAAGACTGGTCTAACTGCTTGGTACCGTGGTTTCAGCTAATGCAAAAATGCACTAATTGCGAGGGAAGATACTTTGAAAAACAATAAATGTATCGTAAGTCTTATATCTAGTCTTATTTATCAGAATCCAAAAACTTTTAGTATGCATTAAGTACCTGGCATGTGGTTACCCTGTTCTATTAAAAGAAGACATTGGGAAAGTGCTATTGCTTATAGAGCTGCTAGAGCAGGTCAGGATAAATACATATCGAAAACTCTAATTGGACTCCGGGTCATCTAAGCGACACTATCTACTTTTCCCAAATTGCCAACAGATGGCGCTGAATGGACATAGTCTTGATTGAAAGTAAGTATGACATACCCAGTAGATGTGCATGTAGCATCCTAGCTTCGAGTGCGACGCGGCAATGTGGACAACGCGCCAATAACACGCAGCGGCGCCAGTAGTGTGACTCCAACGCATCAGCTCTCACGCGACGTCCGCACCACGTACATGTCGTGCTGAGAATCAGAACAGTTGTTACTTCATGGAGAACGTCCAGTATTCGAAGACCCTGAGTCTTAAAGTACAGAACACTAATACTTATACCTATTTATATTTTTTATTATATGTATGCGATTATATTGTATGCGACTATACCCTTATGAGGAATTTTAAAACTGTTCACCGCGTGAGTGAGGTAACCGGAGCCCAAAACCCATCGATTCGCAGGAGCCAGGGGGTCTGTTTTGGGCCCTTTGTTGTGGAACCTAGCATACGATGCGGTGTTTTGCACCAGTCTGCCTTCTGGCCTAAGTGTCGTCTGCTATGCGGACGACACACTAATGCTGGCTAGAGGGTGGATAGACACTTCGAGAAGGTGCATTGGCTCCCGGAACAAGGGGGTGGCTTGTGTCGTGGAAAAGATTCGTAAGTTAGGGCTGAGGGTTGCCCCTCAGAAAACAGGCGATATGGCTCCATGGCCTACGTAAGCGCCAGGAACCGCCCAGCTCACACCTCCGAGTAGGTGACACCGAAATCCAGGTCGGCTACATCCTGGATAATCTTTGCATTTGGGTGCACTTTTACTTCATAAATTGTTTAAAATTTATTTATTATTATTTATTTATAGTCACTTAAACAAAAAGGTGTATGTCTGGGTGATGGGTGGGCAAGTGTGACCTGTCTGCTCTTATGCCCCCTTTGCTATAAAAAAAAAACCAGCAGCGAGCAAACCGTCGATAACTATAGTTAATCCATATTTATTCTCACATTGAGATACTATATCTTTTTTCAAGAAGATGACAAGAAACAAGAAATGTACGTACTGTAAAGTTATGGGATCTGGTATATTATCAGCGGCGTCTCCTCCACCCAAGTCGTAACCCTCATAGTGCCTCTCATCACTGCTCGTCTGTATGTGTCTCCGACCTGGAATAAGCTGAAAGTTAACTATGGAATGCTAAACACCTGTAACAGATGGGTAACTTTGATAAGAACTTTAAGTAAAAACTAACTCTAGTAACAGATAAAACGGGTTTAATACTGATTGTGCTAACGAGAGGTAAAATACTTTTCCATCTAGCTTATATTTTACTCGTACATTAACGTCGAATGTAATGTGTGCTCTATGATCATCGTCATTAGGTTGAGTTTTGTACAGTGATTAATATCTATAGCAGTGAACTATAACGATACATAGATGTCAACAATCTTATTAGTGTGCTAGGTTATAACCAAATATAACGAAAAATAATTTATTGCATGAATTATCCATCTTAACTGAAACATTTTCTTATCCGACGGCAATCTGAATAGAAAATAATCCATAATTCAGCTAAACGAGAAAAAAGAAGCATAGTCACTCGTACTACATCTTTTCTAAGTAGGTATTTGATACTTCAAATACTTTATAAATATTGCCGGTGACTTATTTTATTAAAATTAGGTATTTCGCTCACACAATTGGTCAACAGCAGTTATTAATAATTAAGTAATTGCCTAATCAGATAATGTTAGTCCCACGTTACTATTATCATCTATATAGTAACGAGTCACTTACATTAAGATCTGAAACAATCTTGAACACACCTGGACTGTAATAACCACTTTCATCCATCTGGCTATGTTCATCAAGATGCAAGTTCCTGAGACCAGCCACCAACTTCGGAGATTCAAGTGCCCCATCCCTAAAGTAATCCGCTTTTACTTTCGGGGAGTCCAAACTCCTGCAGTCGGAATCACACCTTAAATCATTTCTTGACATCTGTGGGGAGTCCATAGGCAAAGAGTCCATACTTCGTATATCGTTTTTGGATGTTTTAGGAGATCCAAATGTTGGTGAATCTCGATAATCTAGATGTAAAGGTTCGTAGACAGTAACTGGACGTTCCTTAAGGTGGGGTTTCGAAGGTTCATGGTCGTAGTGAATCATTGAGTGACGATTTTCGCTGTTACGATTTGTACGGCGATATACTACCTGATCTTGAGCTTGGTTTTGGGCTTCCTCGAAGTGTACCTAAAAGGGCATTGAGAGACTAAATGTGAAATTTATTTATCTTTTCTGTACAGCATTTTCTAGAAACATCATGCTATAATTACTGGATAAGTAGCCCGAGATAGAGCAAGCAGATCGATGAATCATACGATTAGACATGGTCCAAGTAGATAGACAGAACAAAAGATTAGAGACATTCTAAGCAGATAGATAGAAACAGAGAATAGAGATAGACTAAGCGAATAGATAGAGTAAGAGATAAAAACTACTACTCTGGAATGCACTCCCGCTCGAAATCAGGATGATTACTAACCATCTTGTATTCAAAAGAAGATGCATGATCTCCTTTATAATAAAATGGCAGAACTACCCAATCCATAGTACACCTTATATTCCGGTATACATAGTGTACGAATATAATATGTATATTTATAAAGATATTTTTATATGTATGTTTATGATGTGATGTGTCGTATATGTGTATGTATACGCATATTTATTGCATGTGCGGCGATGGTCACTTTCCATCAGGTGACCCATCTGCTCGTCAGCCCTCTAACATGTATGTAATGAACCGTATATATTTTCATTGATTACATGTTATTACATGTAACCGTTGTGCACCTACCATAGATGATTTCTACACCACTCAAAGGTTGACTGGAAGAAAATGCCTTGGGCATTTAGTCCGTCGATGTACAAAAGTGCATAAAGTTTGAAATAAATAAATGAACTAAGTATTTCAGTACTTCACAATTTGTTTGTGTGCCGTGCATGTATTTATTCTAAGTATTCAAATCAATGTTACAATACTCACTTTCTCGGTTCCTGAAGCGCTAGATCTCGGTGAATGTTTGGGACTAGCTGCACTATCTAATCTCAGCTTATTATAACCCGGATAATTAACAAAGTCCTTCACAGTTCTACTCGGAGTGTATCTTTTCGTGGGTGATTTCTTTAAACTGCTTTTTGTTTTCGATGTGGTGTAACTACCACCTATACTTGACGGTGCTAAAGTTCCCCCACTGGTGTTAGACGTCATGGACTTCAGACTGTTCGATGAAATGGCGCTGATCGATGACGTCATGCCTAATGAGGCTGTTACGCCGCTGGCCGTTGTTCCACTTCGATTAGAGGGTGCGAGGCTTTCTGTTTCGTGGGAATTGTCGACTATGGACGAGTCTATTCCGTTTAGAAGTTGTTCTTCAGTGGGAGCTTGATTTAGTATTTTCTGTAATAAGTACACAGATAATGAAGTACTCGTAATTATTGTAATGTACGAGTAATATGTATGTCAGTTAGCTTACGGCCACGAACTCTTGTTCAAACGTCAATGATGTATTTAAATTGTAATTATTATTTTCTCGATTCATTATTTGTACACCACGTAATGTGGTAGGATGTAGTGGAACTTTAACATAACTTTAAAGATCTGTAACTAACCTATATTCCACAAATAAAGTATTATGAATTATGAACGTCTTTAAATAAACTCATTATTTATATATTTAATATGGACATAGAATATAGTTACATATGAACATATATTTACTTATGTATAATATGGATGTATTTACAAAAAATAAATAAAAAAAAGTATATTAAGTAACCTATCAGTCAACCTAGCTTTCAGAGTACAAACTCTGGTTAGTTTGAAACTAGATGGTGTTGTGTGTCAGATCTCCGAAATATTATTAAATTATTATTATATATATTCAAAAGTGCAGTGAGTTAGCGTTTTCCTGCGCTTGCCTCCCCTTCTTAACCACAATTTCCTTTTAATACACTTGTTTAATTCTCAAATTACCCGGTTGACGACAGAAGGCCTATTACTAATACAGGAATTGAATTAAACATGGCTTAGGTTGTAGTTGTAATTCAGTACACAATGCAAGCCAATACTCTTTAGGGGTACCCTTAGGTGGTTGCTGCATCAATATTTGATAAAGTAGAATACCCGTCCAGTAGTGGTTCCACCACTAGGCTCACCGTAATAATTGCGTAAAGTCGTAAAAATCCTTACGGCTCATGATTAAAGCCATGTAACAATAAATGGGAGTCATTAACTTTTTTTGTATTTTTTTCTGTGCTGAACTTCCCTCGGATACCACCCACCAGTGGGTAATATTATTATTACCTTGGGCCATCAACGGCTTATAGATGACCCCATCCTGTGTAGGAACCCGGATATTCCCTTCCTACCCCCGAAGGGCGTGCGCGCTTTGTAGCGTCGCCCTCCCCGGCCTGCTTCTCCTGGAGTGACAGATGGCCTCACCTGTCACCCTCAGGAACTTATTTACTGTATCTACACTACACTGTCCGTGTGGTAACGGAGTGTCACTACTCCTATTCATCCCGTAGGTGTTGTAAGAGGCTATTAGGGGAACAAATTACGCAGGAAAACAGCACTGCAAAGAGATAAGCTAGTACATTATAGCTTACTAGTCTGTATTTGTTATAAAACATATCGGAAATATCACAAAAGAATAATTATCTTTTATCTATCACTGTGCTGACTGGAATGAAGTGATACTTGAAAGATAAAGAGATATAAATTATAGGTAAATACGATTTCTAAGAATTCAGACTATTATGTAGCTGAAAAGTAGTACTTAAAATATTTAATTGCAACGTCAAACGTCGAGGCGCGTTTGCCGCTAAAAGGTCAAAAACTTTGCATCCATTAATTATAATAATAATAATATTCTACCACATTCACACAACGCCATCTAGTCCCAAATCAAGCAGTGCTTGTACTATGGGTACCTACTAGACAACTGATATAAATACATAGGTACTTTTTTTTGGAAAATAAACATAGAAACATCCAGACCAAATCAAACATTGCATGTTCATGGACATAAATGTTTGACTTGAACTGGCAACGAACCCAGTCCGCCATGCGGCCGTTAATTATACATTTATAACGCACCAGAGCGCCACTGTTTCTTTTATTGACTTGGTGTAACTTGAATCGTTATCATAGCTAATTGTTGGATTCTGCACCATATCAATTCAATATTTTTCTGATAGTTTTAGGGTTGAGTAACTTCTCGTGTTAACTTTAGCGTTTTGCGAGTCTTCTGTATTAAACTTTTTACTATTTCAAGTTTAATGCTCGCCAAATTTTTCTTTAAGATGATATATGATGATATACCAAGAATTATCTTCAATTAATGCATAGAATTCCATTGGATTGAGTGTTATATCTATTTATACGATCATACCATGGCCTGGCATGTCCTACCCATAAAATCCGCCAGAACAATCGGTCATAGGACCGGTGGTTGCCTACCAACAGTACGTGGCCACTGCTCTAGAACTTTGTGGCCTCATCCGGTGGCCGATGGGGCCATACAGTTGTCAAGTGGCGAGTTTCTGCGAGCAATCTGCCCCGCCACTACCACTTAAGTTTAGTGATCCGTATTTATTATTAATATTGAAAATTTACACCTGCATATCAATTCTATCGAACTGTTGGAACAGATGTCTATAGATTAGGTTCCTTCTGGTTACTGCATCATCGGGAGGTAGTTGAGCTCGCACCACCCTCGGGGAGCGTGCGTAAGCTGCTAGAAGAATACGTTCGGCTGCGGCACGAACAGAACCGGCTGCGTGCTGAGCCCCTGCTGCTCCACATTCCGCCAAACGGCGAACTGTAAGACCGCTAGAAGAAAGCCAATTTAGGAAATTTTAGTTACAAGACTGATTAATCTAATAGATATTTGGTTCAAAGGTTCAAAAACCGCTAATTACCACGTAGAAATTGGTTTGAAATAAAATGTTCTAGAATCTAAAACCACTTTAGTGATTAGTTTTAAGTTAGAGAAGTATATGGAATATAAAAACTCGGTTATACAGCACTAAAAACCGGGACGAGTGCAAGTCTGGCCTACGCAACTAGGGTTCCGTACAAACTTATATGTTCGTCCATTTATGGAATCGATTCCCTAATATTTTTGCCCGCTATTTCCAAGTGGTAGGTAAACTTAACTTGATGTATTGCAATAAATGTTTCAATCACAGAATATACTCGTAAGTGTTTTAAATTGTAAAAAAAGAAACATTATTATTGGGATGTTTATGAGTTGTGGTCTACAATTTTTGTGTCAAATTCATAACTTTTTTAGACGTTCAGAAGTACATCGAAAGTATGAAAAAAAAATGTAGGTATTCTCATAAAAATGTGTAAGACGTACCTTGCATTTTAAATTGCATATAATCGGTCAGAAATCATTAGCGTAAAGATTTGTTTATATTGTACATGTGTACAATATAAAATGTATGTGTAAAATATGTGTACATATACCTATGTTTGTATATTTAACCACTGCACTGCAATAGTACTGCAAAGTGAAAGAAAATTTGACACAAAACCTATACCAACCCGTCTGGCCAGCGTGGTATAGTAGGCCAAAACCTCCTTTCTAAGGAGAGGCCTATGTCCAGCAGTGGAGTTGAAAAGGCTGTTGTTGATGATGATGATTATGATGATTTAACCGACTTCAAAAAGAGGAGGTTTTTTTGTTTTTCATTTGACGGTTTTTTTGGAGAAAATACCGCGTAACACATTTGTTACGCAGATCTTCGATTTCAATCATTCTTTTTTAATTAAGTTTGGTCAAGGTTGGACCCATCAACTTGAAAAAAATATGCCACCTGTAAGGGTAAACAAAATAAGGGATGAGGAATATAGTTTATTACGCTTTATCATTATTTAGATACATTTAAAAACGATCACCTGCTTTAATGTAGCTATTATTTATTAAAAGTTAATGCTGATTTTAGAACATGTGTTTAGATATGAATTCTATGGAAATTAATTCATATTATGCAACTATAGTCCAAACTTATTGCACTATAGTTTAGTTTTGTTTAGTACTCATCCAAGTTTATAAATTATACGATTGTAGGGTACCCACGTATCACGATTTTATTGGTTTGTTGTTTCGAAAATGGTTTTAAGTCGAAAAGTACTATTTATTTGTTTCATGTGAATGTGATACGGTCTTAATGACCGTTTTATTTGTTTTTTTTTACAGCTTCAAATTAACTAACACTAGATTATACAACGGTAGGTAGATAGACTGCGTTCGATTAATTTTACGTTTTAACCCTCTTTGTTTTTAAGAAAAGACAAACAGACCGAGGCTATCCATTGAACATTTTTTTCCTTTTCTGAGGTTATATCACTATAATTTTGACAGAACTATTTTCGAAATACGAATTAAAAACTCGCAACTTATCATAATATGATTGGAAAGTCTATCAAATGTTCAAACATTGCTATATTAAGCAAATAAATCAAAGTGCTGATGCAATATGACATGAGTGTGTGCAACACAGCCACCGAAACCCACACATTCAAATGTCGAATGCAAAACAAATGACGCATCCTTTAGAATGCGGCGATTATTTTATAGGCTTTTGATATCTGGGGATATAGCTCAGTGGTAGAGCAATCGACTGCAGATCGATAGGTCCCTGGTTCAAGTCCGGGTGTCCCCTAAATATCTGACAACATTTTTGATATTAAATCAATATAAATGGAACAAAGCTTGAGATCGTCTCGTGCTGAGCGCATTTTTTAACTGTCGTTATATTTTTTCTGAGTTAAATTAATAGTTAAGTTAATAATAGTAAATAGTTAAGTTAAGTAAATTGTAAAAACGTTTGTTTATTACATATCCTTAAAATAGGTAATACTCGTAATGAACAACGTAAACAGAGGAGACACGAGCCCGACTGTTCCATAGAACTAATATATATAGATAAATATATTTCAGTAAAATAAAAATAAAATGTTATTGGCAAATGAGAACACCTTCCAGATTAAAATTGTCATCCAGACATCACATACTACACACAAATTTGACTTCTAGGATATGTTTACAAACTTATAAGTTAGTTAAGTTAAGTGTGATAATTAAAAACTATCACAAAATCGTGGTACCTAATACATATAAGAATTCTTGGTATATCTACTAGTGCTACTGTTATGTTAAGCAGGTCCGTCGAAGTCATTTGAGAAGACAACATTAGCCCATGACTAAGTAACCTTAATTTACCTGTTCTTGTCAGTAGAAATGCCATGGCTAAGTATGAGCTGTTCTAGCATTTGCAGTCTCGAGAGTGCAAGTCGAGGGTGCATCGATGCAGCCACGGGACGCACCAGTTGCTGAGGTATTATGTGAAGAGCTCTGTGAAGTACACACAAGTCGTGTCAATACGTACTAAATAATTATTCGAGTGACCATCTGATCATTCAAAGTAAGGCCTGAATTATTTTGAACCCCAGAAACGTACCCAGAATGAAATTCACGTCGCATTTCCAAAAATATATACGCTACCGTTAGAATGTTTCGAAGCACTCGCATTTAATTTTTTTAAATATATAGATATTGTATTTGTTTACTAATCATTGTAAAATATTAAATAAAACAGATATTTTACTATAAAATTCAAGCAAAACTTTGTTAATTAATCTTAATAACAATTAACAATTTCTAATATTAAATATATGTCATGTCAATAATTTATCGTCAAGCAACGTCAGTGCACAAATTTAAAAAACATATCTATGATGTGTTTTACAAACCTGACTTGTGGGCAATCAGCTACGGTAAGAACTGTATGCTGCGCAGTGGAGTGTACTCGAGGAGCTGGATCTCCGCAGGCACGAAGCAACTCGGGCAGCAACTTCTCTATAGAACGGCCTACTTCCGCACCACAAACCCTGAAATTCAGACGTCACACTACTATGTTCCTTTTACTGTTGAATACATTTATTATGCCGGCGGTCTGGCCGTGTTTTATATTATTATTATAATCCTTAAACATTTTAAACAATAGTCATACGTGCAAATATGACTAAAGTCCAAACCCCGCACCCCGACCAATCATATTCCAAGAAATTATCGAAAGCCAGCTAGCTTGGACTATAGTAATATTGGAACGTATATAAAATCATGGATCTTCACCTGTCCGGCACAAAGTCCTTGAACAGAACTTTCACCACTTCATTCGCTAAGCTGTATACGGAGAACACTTTATCTCTGAGGGCTCTCTGGAGTAATAGGGCAGCAGCTCTTGCTGTTTTGTTAGGTGAGGTCTTGGTGCTGCCATTGGACGGAGATGTGAGTTCAGCTCGCAATCGGGATAATCCTTCTTCTTTGTCTAAATAGTTCTTTGAGAAGAATTTTTCTACCTAGAAGTATGAAATCAAATTATTAGCTATTTATACATGCTTTTAAATATATACGAGTATATATATATATACTTACTAAAGGGTAACCAAATATAACAATAGGAAGAGCAGCATGTTTTCTCTCTCTTTCATTCAGTTTGTGTGGTTGCGTAGGTTGGTTGCGAGAATGAGACGTGGCTGCACTGCCTCCACTGCATTCTTCTTCGCGACCCTCACGCAAGTACTCATTGGTGTGGGAACTGCATAAATATATACGAGTAAGTGATGTTTACAGACCTTTCAACTTAACAAAGATTTTACAACGGATACTCAAAAAACTGTAATAAAGTTTTGTAAATACTAGTATTCATCTTATCCATCCAAATAAGCTATAAGCATCACCAGCTTTTAAGAAATGTGCTGGGTGGGTATCGAATTCGAATTCGATAATCGCAAGTAGCTATTAATTTGCCTTTATGTATGATCATCAAATACATATAATGCAGGTAACTTATATCAATGCGTTAGCTAGATGTATACCTTGACTAGGAGGTAACATTCGATATCCTTGGTAGTCTCGAGAAACTTTATTCCTAACAGTAACCTGCTGTGTTAGTTTGCTCCCTTAGTCAGCTACTACGACACCCACAGAATGAAAAGGGGAGGTGACACTCAGTATCCTTAATCATATGGACATATGTCATATACTATATACTTTGGTGACTTACTGTCTCAATGCGGGTAGCAATCGTTCTTCATAAGCTTCGAAAGTTGACCGAGGACCTGCACTCTTGTTTCTGCGACGAATCACGGAACCTGGAGGAAGACCTGTAAGATTAGCACTTCAATACTTATGTAACCAAGCCCAAGATCTAAGGAATATATATCACCGAGTGAATGAGGTTTACCGGAGCCTTAACCCCCGCCCTCTGATTCTGGAAGGGGGATTTCAAAGGCCGCCAACGCACTTGTGACTCTTGAGTTGCAGTGGTTCAAAGGCGGCGGTAGTCACTTACCAGCAGGTGACCCGACTATTCGTTAGCCCATATACCATAAAAAAGCAAATATTACAAGCTACTTCTGAAAAGCCTGCTAACTCTTCCAAAGTTAGAGATCTTAGATTTTCTTAGAGTTTCTAGAGTCATGGCTTATACGTGCATGTCATTAGTATACTTAGTGACATAAAATTTTAACTAAATGCATATTTCGTATATAAGCATATTTCGTATATTTTAGGTCAAGGTTATTATTAATTCGTGATAGCTTTAAAAAGGATTTTAATGCTTGTAATAAATATAATCTCACCGTTGACTGCATTTGGTGTGATACTCCTTCGAGGACTGTCCGTCTCTTTCCGCAGTTCTTCTTCTTCTAGTTTTTTCTGAGCTTCTAGTTTCTCTCTTTCTTTCTCTTCCTGCATAAGTTGCTCTTGGACGGCTTGAATTGGTTCAGGATGAGGAAATGTGGGAGGTATTTCTTCTTGTAGCGTTTGTTCAGGTGACTGACACAGATAAATAAATAACTTATCGAAATGATAGTGTTAACAAAAAAATCCTTTTGAGGAAAGTATATTACAATGAAAACATTTTCGAACTTAACGTAATGCTTAATTAATATTTTTTTCATCATCACACATCAACAGCCTATACTAGTCCACTGCTGGACATAGGCTTCTCCTTAGAAAGGAGGCTTTGGCCTACTATACCACGCTGGCCAGACGGGTTGGTATAGGGTTTGTTTCAAGTTTTCCTTCTCTTTGCAGTGCTGTTGTCCTGCTTAGTTTGCTCCCTTAGTCGGCTCTTACGACACCCACGGGATGAATTTGGGTGGTGACAATTTGTATTCCGAATCCGTCACCACACGGACTATTAATATTTTTTTAAAGTGTTCATAAGTTTGTGCTCGTGGGTTGCTGAGTTATGAAGAATGTACATAAGATACCAACAACTTGATCCTGCCTTCTATGTTCTTACCAGTATCAGTTGAAGAGTCAGAATGGTTTGATACTTACCGGAGGTGTGTTATCTATCTCTTCTTCCTGACCATTTACGTATTCTGGTTCCTGTTCAGGTTCGGCTTCTATTGGAGGTACTGGCGACGGTATATCCAAACTGAGGGAGCCAGCCACCACAGATGGAGACAGATGGTGAGAGAAGTCGTATTCTTGGGGCATAGAGGAATCGTTGCGGTGGTCTGGCTGAAGAGTTTACATAGAATATTAGTTTGTTGAAATATCGCTATATGACATCAAATAATTCTGATATAAAATAGTCATAAATGTATATATTTTATCATAAATATATATATTTTTGTGTACATTTTACAATGCTCTCTAAAATATTTAAAAAAATCGCGAAGTCAACCAATCCAATAATATAATCCAACAATATTTATGCATACATATTAGACACGACATAAGACGAGCATAATTTAGAAAAAATGTGCTTGGTTTATAAAGGATCGATTGGATTATAAATACAATTGTTAAATGGTGGGAAATCTAAACTCTTAAGTGGTTATAACTAACCCCATCATCCTCAAACAGCCTACATAGCGCAGGATCCTCTTTTACCCCACACAAAGCATCAGCTATTCGATCACGCATGCGCCGCGCTAGTTCGAAGTCATCACGTGCTGCAGCTGTTCGCTTCCGTAGACGCCATCGACCGATGCGGATTCCAGCAGAAGCGAGGGCCGCACCAGCAGATTTCAAGCGACGAGCATATTCAAAGCGTTCCTCTGGAAGTAGGGAGTTGGTTATTGTTTAAAAGTGTTTGTTAACAGAAAGAATACCTTGAATCTTCATTTTAATAAAAGTGAAATGTAATATTTGTATCAGAAAAGTTTGTTTTACCCTGAACAGCATTCTTTTTCTTCTCATCCAAATTCCGAATCAGATCAGCTATGTCGTTGTCGACGTACATGATGAAAGCGAGGTCGTCATAGGGAGAGTAGGACGGTTCTTTGCTGGCAGTCGGTGTGGTGTCCGCCTCTTCAGCTTCCTCACCAAGGACATTGACGGCCATAAGCGCCACCTGGCAATTTTTAAAGTAACTGTTTTAAAAACTTAATATCTGAGAAGCGCTCGTTGCTTCCTAGCTGACTTATGTTGTACTAAATTATCCTAAATCATAAAAGTAAAATTTATAGTATGTACCTGTCAACGTTGACCCGTGAGCATTTTGGCAATAAAATCAAACACTTTGTCACCAAAATATTTGATTTTGTTTCCAAAATGTTGTGGAATTTCTGAACAGAAAAAAGACCATCGGACCCAAAAATAATGTGACTGTAATAAATTTAAACAACTATACCTAAATCCTACCTGATCATCTTCTTTAGCTGGTGGATGCGGTCCAGACAGCCTGAGTTTAACGAAGCGTGCTACTGTAGGCTCTGGGAGGGCAGCTGATCTGTAATCATAATATAATTCTTTTAGGCTTCTGCCATACGTATAGTTGGTGAATAATAAGAACAATGGACGTAAAGAAAGGGGAATGCCGAAATTAGGCCCAGAATGCCCAACAATTGTATTTTGCTGAAAAAACATAAATTAAATTTTCTTAATTTTCCTTGCTATTCAAGTCAGGATAAAAGCCAGAAATATTTTCGGCAAATTAAATAACACTAAAACAATTTTATCTTAATACACTGACATTTGCATTTTTCTGGGTTGCCAACATTTCGTAAAAAAATCAAATAGTATTTTGACAAAATATTCACATTGAGCTTTTTTACTTGTACTTAAATAAACTAACTTAAATAATACACACATTTGAGTATTTTAAAATTATATTGTATTATAATTATAAATTATACATTAACAATGAGCAGTTAAATACCGATCTATGGGTTGAGTCGATCGATAATACGATATTTTGTTTATTTAATGGCAACTATACTATTAATATTTTAAAACTCTAATCAAACTGACAGCTACCCAGTCAATTTATCATTACATGTTCTGTGATCATTACTTTGTTTGCCTTTGCATCATCGTGATTTGTGCGTGTTTCTCGATATTAATTAATATTAAATCGTTGATTCTGACCATGAATACTGACTCTGGCGATTCTTCTTTACCTGACAACCACGGCTTGCATATGGATTCCGCTCCTACTGATAACGACAACCCCCGCGATAACTTGGATTTGATGATAGTACCGACCGAAGACTTCGACATTCAACCTGGTTCTAGTTCTTCTCTGCAAAGAGCGTCTACTGCTAATATTACCAGTGGTTATATCCGCTGTGTAAATTGTAATATAAATATTTCAAGAATGCGAAGACACTCATTGGAAATTGCTGAAGTCCGATCCCTTATACAGAGATGGGTTGGACAGCTGCAGGTAAATAACTACCTACATACAAAAACCTGCAAATAGCTTTATACAACTTAACATAATCTAAACCCATATTTACTTTTATAGCAAGTTTCGAGTGATAGTTTGGTGTGTCATACATGTTGGACCAATGCATGGAATGAAATCAGGATGCCAACCAGTCAACGGTCGACTGAGCCTCTCGTTGGCCACATTCTTGTATGCATCAGCTGTGGAACTTCACTTTTAAGGCAAAGGTCACATAGCCTTAACATTGATACACCACATTGTGAACAAATAAGGAATATTATTACCCATCAAATTGCACCACGAGAGGTAAGATAATATACATACAATATTATTGTTAGGAATATACTTTGTAAAGAGAGTATTAAGAGTGGTTACAATCAGACTTTAAATAAATAGCTGTAATGTGTCTTAGACTATGTGTGAGATAAAGTGTCTATCCAGGTAGTTGAACTATAACTATATTGTAATGTTCTAAGAATATAGAATAATAACATCTCACATATGGCTGGCTGGTTCCAAACTATGCAGAGCCTCTATGGTGGTAACCAGACTGCTGATAAACATACTTAAATATTATTTTAAACATACATAAATTATAAATTAAAATCTTCTCACTCGTTAACACTCAGCAGAGTGGTCATGGTCATCGGTCTGGCCGGTAACTCTCACTATCTGTTGCCACTCCTTGCATATTGATTCATTTCTACCACACTCTCTCATTCAAATAAAAGTACCTACATGGGATAGAATTCTTTGTCGAATCATGGTCTGAGGATTGTTGTTTTGCCATTTTAAGGGAAAAAAACATATCAGTTGCCTTTTTTCTTTGACAGTTGCCAAGATCAGCCCATCTTTGTCATAACTGTTGGCGAAGGACTGAAAGAGCAGCTGCTCGCTTTACTTCAGATGGGGAATCAGCAGTGTCAAGTCTCCCATCATTTAACATTGAATCTTCTCAAGTACAAGCTGAAGGAAGAAATACAACTCCATCTCATGGCTTGCAGTTGCCTAACTATATCAGAGCTCCTAGCACACAGCGACATTGTTTTTTTCCTGGATGTAATGCGTCTGACCGGCTTTTAGTACCATCCTCACTGAGAGTAAGTTTACTTTGTGACTACAATTATTATGTGCCTGCAGATTGCAGAATATGTTCAATGCACTTGAGAAGCAATTCATGGGATTTACTTCTGGATTCAATTTATGATCCTATCAGGACATTCAGTGCTGAACAAATGGAAGAACTTATTTCTTTGTTAAAAGATAACATGTTAATGCATTTAGATTTTGACAATATCTTAAGTATGCCAGATCATATTGTTCACTATTACTTGGGCTTTTCAAAAGAACAATTCCAGCAAATCCTTTCGGAAGTCCCGAGGTTATTAAATAGCCATAGGGGAGCTTATGCTCTGGCAGCATATTTATTGAAATTGCGGACAGGAGATATTAATGAACGAATTTCATCATTATTGCAAATACCAAGGAGTACACTAGAAGGTCTAATGAAGATGGCTAGAGAATTATTGTATCAAGATTTTGTTCCCAGAAATCTGGGCTTGAATCACATAACTAGAGCAGAAATTGCTCAAAGGAATCTGCTGATTCCCAATGCTTTGTATGGGGGCCCAGAGAGAACACCAATTATAATAGCTGATGGTACATACATATATATAGAAAAAAGTTCTAATTACTTGTATCAAAAACAAACATATTCATTGCATAAATACCGTAATCTGGTTAAGCCATTTTTATTTGTATGCAGTGATGGTTATATCATTGACGTACTGGGCCCCTATCCTGCTACAACCACAGATGCAGACATTATGAAACAAGAGTTTGGAAGTGAAAGTAGTTCTTGCCGTCAATATTTTGAACCTGGGGATGTATTTATTCTCGACAGGGGTTTTAGAGACTCATTACCGCTCCTAAGGAGTTGTGGCTATAATGTCCATATACCATTATCCCCAACAGATGGTGAACCACAATTGACAACTAGAGAAGCAAATAAATCAAGAGCTGTTACTTTATGTCGATGGGTGGTGGAAGTGGTGAATGGAATATTTAAAACTAAGTTTAAAATATTTAGGCAAACCTTTTTCAACAGAGCTTCCAAGCATCTAATGATAGATTTCTCTGTGGCTGCTGCTCTTATAAATAAATATCACACCAGATTACGAGACAGAGACGATGCCACTGAAATAATTGAAATTGTGAACAGGAATATGAACAGAAACAATGACCTTTCAGATTATGTTAGGGATCATAATCTCAATAGAGCTAGATCAGATTTCCAAAATATTAATGTTGACAGGGAAAATATAAGGGACTTTCCAAGACTAACTAATAATGAGCTAATACTGATTGCCTGTGGGATATATCAGTTGAAACAAGCTCGTTCTTATTACGGAGAGCATATAAGGACCAACGGGTCATACCAAATAGAAGTCTCTAGAGACTCTAGGAATAGAATAATGGAAGAACTAATTTTTGGCTCGAATTGTTACCTAATTAGAGCAAGAATTGCAAGTCGACACATCAGTCGCAAAATATACTTCATATATATACTAATTACCAATATGGAAACTGGTCGCGAGGCTATCAAACAATACTGCTGCAATTGCATTGTTGGCCGTCGTACAGTAGGATGCTGTGCCCATGTCATGACAGTGCTATGGTATTTGGGGTGGGCACGGCATCAAGGTAATATTTTTCCTCCTGCTCAATTTTTGGATGATGTTTTAGTAGTGTATGATGAATGAAGGTTTAACTATTTAAATTGAGTTTCATTTTTAACCATCTAAGATCATAAAAGAGCAGGAAATGTATACCAACCCGTTTGGCCATACTATACTATACCATAGTAGGCTAAATTCTTCTTCCACCACTGGAGGAGGCCCATGCAGTAGTTGGAGATTTATGGACTGACATGGATGGATGGATTATAAATACAATATTAACTAGATATATTTATACAGGAATTGTTTCCAAGAACTTTATTGCACTTGTGTAAGCGCACATTTAAAAAAATAAAAACCTTGACATTTATGAAACCCCAAGTTTTGTGTTAACTTTTCTTTTGTGAGTAAATTATTTATCTGTCAAAGAAATATTTGCACCCATTTTCACATATGGGCATTCAGGGCCTAAAGCACTATGGTGGCCTGGCATCCCCCTTTCTATAATGATGATTTTAGTTCAAAAATCTACAAGGAATACTAGAGAACCAGCAATGAATTATTTTCTGTCAATTTTAGGAAATTCGTATAAATTCTTTCTCATACGATAATCGAGGATGAAAATGTTATAAATTACAGAATCTGACGTAAGTTAAGAATCTGAGGATTCACTTTAAAGTATTGATTTCCAGAAGAATTGAAACTGTCATATGTAGTACCTTTTTTAAATCTTTAGTTTAATACAGTACCTTAATTCCCTGGTTCTAGCTTGGGGCGCTGGCTTGGCTAATGTGACTCGGCCCACACTGGTGTATGTGGCTCCACATGGTGTCGCTGCGCCTTCGGAAACCAGGCCACCGGACACGAGGACTTCTACGCATGACGCTGACATCAAAATAAAAATAAAAACATGAATTGATATAGATATACTTTTCCTTCTTTTTTGCTTTTTGCCAGGACTCGACTCGAATATATAAATATTAGGAGTTTAAAGACAAATCTAGAAAAAAGATTTAATGGTTTGGTTTAGCAAGAAGCGGGGAAAAAGCACAAGAAAAGATAGGAATTTCACATCCCAAAAAAGACAAGGCCTTCTTTACAAAGTACGTACTTTACAAAACAATGTCTAGGGTCCCTGATTATTTGGTCAAATCTTTTTATCCTTGCTTTTGTGATAAAGTCAAAAAACTAGATGCTTAGCAATTATCATTGAAGATTTAATCAAGAAGAAATTACCTACCTTTATAGATGCTAACTTCATGAATTGATTCAAATTCAAAATAAAAGCCTAAATCAGTCCAAATTCATAAAATTCCAATGCCTTAAGAGTTTGCTGTCAAAACTTACGTATGAGCTGGTGGTGTGCCAATAGTTGTAGTTTATGTACGGAGGTGACGCGGGACAGTCGAAGAAGGAGCTCGTGTGGTGGAGCGCCCTCGCTGCGCCAGCCGCGAGCCGCTGGCCCTTGCGCGTTCAGCTCGCATGCTGGGTACGAGCTGTCCTCGCCTAGATAATAAAAGTAGAATAAATAAGATTGTTAATTTTAATCATAAAGCTGTTTCTGTCAACAAATAAGTACACTGTATTCAAGTAAGTTGAGGGTTTGAACAAATACTGATAAGTTTGTGTTAAATACATAAGGTACGCGTCTGCTTTGTTGTAAAAAGGAGCACAGATGACATACTTTAAGATTAGGTAGTTCATTTTATATCAAATGAAAAATATTCTGTGAGATTTTACTCTTCGCTACCTAGACTGCAAAATTAGGCAGAGCTTTTTTTTGTTGTAGAATATGAAAAACATACTTATATTTATTTTGCATAAGTGATAGATAAGTCCACCCTATTCAGTGTTCATCCAATAGTCAAATCCGTTAATGGACTAATAATCCATAGTTTTAAAAGCTCTTACTGAGGATCTGATGCAGAGAGGTGTACGTTAGCCCTTAGCTTAATGTACAACCTTGTGCGTTAACCTATCTTCATCACATCATCATATCAACAACCTTTAATATTCCACTGCTGGACATAGGCCTCTCCCTAGAAAGGAGGTTTTGGGCCTACTATATCACGCTGGCCCTACGGGTCGTTATAGGGTTTGTGTCAAGTTTTCCTTCTCTCTGCAGTTCTGTTGTTCTGAGTAGTTTTCTCCCTTAGTCGGCTCTTACGACATCCACGGGATGAATAGGGATGGTGACACTCTGTATTCTTAATCCGTCACCACACGGACCTATCTGAATAGGTTAAAAAAGCAGTCTCAGATATCTAATGTTCTCATAACCCTACCTATATCGGTATATTTTTTTGTTTTGTTTTCTTTAAAAAGACAACTCCCGCATTAGGAAAATATCCTGTGTCGCGGGGGACTTTACAAACATACATGAAACGGACACAAATAACACCCAGACTTGGAACAACAATTTGTGGATCACACAAAGTGTCGTCCCATGTGGGGTTTGAACCCACAACATTCGGCGTAGTAGGAAGCGGCGTGGCGACCGCTTAAACCACTACGCCATCCGTGCAGTCAAATATGAACACAATAATTGTTTCCTGAGAGAGAATTTCTGCATCGCAACATTGGGAGCAACGGCACCTACAACAGTTGACTAGATTAAACAACAACTGTATTTTCTTTTATTTTTCGAACGTTATATTACGTAATAATTGTCTATGAGAACCTACATTTTATTTATTGTTATGGTTAAAATCACTATGGACCTAAATAGATGAAAGAATTTAGTATTACGTAATTCGTGTAACTTATCTTAATAAACTCGCTGACGTAAGAATCCGGAGAGCTTCTAAGTGAAACTTCTAATTATATTGTTGTCTAGCCTGTGTCTTAAAGCTAGAAAAATAATATTAAAAGCGCCTTTGCTTCCAAAAGTAACAGTGCTTTTCTCTTTTCGTTTTGGTTTACGAGGATTGCATCAGAGATAATAATTTTCCATTCTCTTACAAACAACTAATCGGTGGATCAAATTATCGTCTGCAGTATTTCCAGACCGACACGTCCTTCAGGAAAGAGCGTACTCCTTCCTTAAAGGAATCCACAGGGAACACAAGCATTGTAGCTTAGCTGTAACATAAATTACTCACAATTCCTTTCTAAGGAGAGGCCTATGTCCAGTAGTGGACTGTTATAGGCTGTAAATCATGATGATGTAACATGATACTAGCAATATATGCGCCAAGTCACTATCAATCTTTAAAAAAGTGTTTAAATTTACAACCACTAAAATATGAATATTATTATAAAAAATATTAACGTTGTAATCGTAACTTCACTTATGCTTTTAATGTCTAAAGTTTAATTGTATCAAATAATACGAGTACATGTAGGTTAAGTACAAATACCGAAGTAGGCTGCAACGCTACAAATTTTAATTGGCGGTACTTGGAATGCTGTCGCACTATTTTACTGTAAGTGGATACTTCGAAAATTAGAGCCCTATTATTCGTAATAGTATTAGAGATTTTTCTAAGCACATCGTTTTTTTCACAAGGCTTTCGTTAGCTATTTTGTAGGTATGTGACCACGTAGTACGTGATATTTTGTACGTTTTGTGTTTAAGATTATCCTCCAACTACTATGTTACAATATTATTGCACTAACAGTTAACCGAAAGCCTCGTAATAGAGGAGGTAGCCGCAGGAACTCCTTATCAGTCATGAGTTTTTTTTTTTTGGAAGGAAATTGAAATCACGACAACTACATCAACGACTTCAATGCGTCATAATAAATGTTATTGTCATCACATCATGTGTTGTAAGAGCCGGCTATAGGAGGCAAACTGCGTAGGATAACAGCTTTGAAAGAAAAGGAGAACTTGAAACAAACAATATACTAACCTGTCATATGGCCAACGTGGTATAGCAGACCAAAACCTTATTTCTAAGGAGAGGCATATGTCCAGCAGTGGACTGTTGGACATATGTAAAGGATGTTAATGTGGTGATTTATTCTTCGATCGTTAAGGTAAGTTTAGTTTTCACCCTTAGGTCTTATTTTTCTTTAAATTAAAATGAGGCCAAAGGTTAAATATATCCTCCTAAATAAAACAATAATTTGCCTAGTAAGTTAATAACTTACGAAGTTCTTGGTAAACACAGATAAAAAAAACAACTAAAATAAAAAAAATCTTAAGTCAGTTTTCAATAGAACTTAGCTTAAATACTTATACATATAAAACACAAAGTCATGTTCAAATTGTGATGGAATTAAAAGCATTAATACAAGTCAACAATAACAAAGAGGCAATACATTAGACTACCAATCGATGTTATTAGACTTCCGCACAACGGCAAAGTTTAATGAAACCTACCCCTTGTCTGAGAATGATAAATTAGTTTTGCCTTTTCCGATAATGAGTAGGTATGAGCACTATGAATAAATAACCGGCTGACCGATCGATTGGAAAGGATAAAAGGTCATGTATATTTGTCAAACAATTCTTGAAGAGTAAAATCCGTCCAAATCTGAATGTTACTATCTTTACGCCGAATAATACTGAGTCATGTCATTTTATGTTTGCCATGTAATTTGAAATATCTTCAGTAGATAGATGGATGAATTTTGAACATAAAAACAGAGTTGTACAACCTAAAAATATATTAAAAGCAGTACAATAGGTGGTCCTATCGCAGTATGCGATCTCTCTCAACCTAGGTGGACTATACTGTATGGTAAAACTTAGGAAAATCAAGGTTTAACAACTACAAAATAATAAGAAAAAACATACATTTAATGTCAATGTCGCTCAATAAGTAGTATTCCATATTATTTTGGTGTCAGATGCTGTCTGATCTAAATGACGAGGCTAGTCTTCGTTGAATAAAATCTAGACCAGCGAATGGCTGAAGGCTACTAAAAGTAGCCAGTTTCATTTTTCTGAGAGAACTTAGTCCCTTATTATTTATTTGCACGGAGAGGTTTTGCATGAAATTGTTGTAATTTATTGACTATATTGTATATAAATGACTATCTTTTGCCCTGGGCTCCGCCCGCGTGTATTTCGGTTATCGCGGTAAAAAGCCATTCCAACCATTGTCCTTCCTCAAGAAGCTAACTATTTCTATATCAAATTTCATTTAAATTGGTTCAATAGTTATTGATTTCACATACAAACTTCCACCCCCCTTTTCACCCCCTTAAAGAATGATTGCTGGCATAACACACTAAATCTTTATTTTGTTTGTTACTTCCTTTACTGCCTATTACTATCAGAAATACATAGAAAATGGTATGAGAAGACGCGGTATAATTTTTAGGTGCAGTAAGCAGCTAATGCAGTGCAGTAATCATCATCAACAAAGACTACAACAAAAGACCACTGACTGGTCTTTTGGTTTAGTGTTTATAGACCCTAACTGCTGAGCCAGAGGTCTTCAGTCTTGAAAAATAATTGTGTGATGAGCACAACCATTCCTTGAGACATTTAAAAGCAATTTAATATCACTAATTTTGTATTTTCATAAAGAGGAGTATTACCTACACCGCTTTTTACCGGCTACCTGGTGTAAGTAGCACAAAGACATCGAAAAATAAAAAAAAATGGTAATTACTTACTTGTTGCGTAGACGATGTGAAATGGAATGCGTTTTGGCATTATAATATATCACTATCTTTTAACTTTTGAACAGAATCTTATAATCACTGCCATTGCTATTAATTTTTAGTAGTGATTAAAAAAAGAACCCTATCAAATATTTTGAAAACATATAATTTTTGTTAAGAGCATTATTTTTTAATAGAAAACTACATTTTATTGCCAAATAAGAGTGTTTTTACGTTAAATGCGTAGTGCTCTGATGTGGACTAGAAACGAGAAGCGACTTGAAGTTGGGCCCGAGAGGGTGCCGGTAAAGTAATCAATATTTGCGCAACTTAGCCCATTACTCTTGAAATGCCGCGCAGGCTGCATTGATCGCAACGCCATCTAGTACAGTGAATTGTAATTGTTCATGCCATTTTCTCTAAACTTATAATTGGAAAAAACCACGCCATCTTTCTTATTTTTCTTTGGTACTGTTATATATATGGCGGTTGCCACAATATTTCAGGAGATAAACAGGTGGCACTTTTTGGATTATAAAAATGACTTATTGTATATTAAAGCCGTTAAAATGTATATGTTTGACCAGGAGCTTTTTGCGCCATTGGTAATTTTTAACATTAGGCGTTAAAGCCCGAGGCACTTCGAAAATTGGTCAGATTTTATGTAAGGCTCTGAAACGGAGTCTCTGCCAAAATCTATCTATCTAATTTTAATCTATCTACATCCAACAATTATTATGGACGATACGTAACGACTTGTGTTTTAGTAACAACTTAAGGAAAAAAATTTTTTACAACATACGGCACTACTTTTAAAGTTTAAATTCTTAATACACCTTTAAGTCACAAGGAAGATTGCGGACTGCGTACAATTTTTTGTCTTATATCTGTAGAAAATTTACAGACTTCAGACAGATGATGCAGAAAAGAGATAACAACGGTTTTTATGACAAATAAAATTCAACACAGTAGAGACCTATAAAGAGTCCTTGGTCTAAAAATTATGATGAAAACTAGATAATTTATTGAGGCTGTTTAGTTTTATGTAGGAGAGCGGAAAATAAACTTCTAGCCTCAGTGATGGTAAAAGTTAGGACAGACAGGATCACACGATTAAAAAAAACGCACACGAATGCACAAATTCACACGAATCAATGAATTTATATAAATAGCAACTCTTATAAAAAGAAATAAGGTTAAATATGATTCTTAAGCACAAATAAATGAATGCGTAACCATGAATTTGTTTTTCATAGCGATGCAGCCGACGCGACGGAGACAATTTCAACGTTCTCCCTTTTACTGAAAGGGCCGCTGAGGGTCGTTCTTTCGGTGTAAGTATATCTTCGATGTAAAACCACTATATAAGTAAACCGGCCCATATTTCGTCTTGGTTACCATATGAAATAACTAACTTTAAAAAAATAACCACCATAATCAAAATAATCCACTTAGCAAAATACCCATTTCCAGTAAAGAATTTTCCTAATCGGTGCATAAATGGTGGAGTTCCTTATTGAAACTCCTTATTTTTGAAATCAGTAAAAAATAAGTCCCAATGATATTAATATACACGTATAAATCTTTACATTTTTCTTTTGATAAGGTTTATTACATTATCATTTTACACAATTTCTATTAAACGGTTTTTTCCTTAATCGTTATCAAAGCTATGCTAATCAATTTACTATTTGGTAGTTGAAAAGCGTAGAAAATGTTATTGAACTATTTTTTTTTTTAATGCACTTAAACTTTTCACGGTCACCCAAACTTATCTGTGTTATCTTTGAAGATCTTAAGTCCCGTATCTAAGAGTAATCATGATAATCAATGTAATCAAATCTGTTTATGATTACCTGAATATGTATTCAGTGCACAGCCGAACAACAGCAGGTAGGGTTTCTATATTGTTTTGTTGTATTTTTTTTTTAATAATCCTACTTTATTGTTTAGAAAAAGTTTTTTAAGACGAGAATGTACAGTCAGACCTTTTCTTTTGATGATAGTAGTACTGAAAACACTACTTATTTTAAACTCAAATGATAAGTCCCGATTTTATTTATATTAATGAGATTTTTTGTTTTTTTTACCCTTTTCATGTTATATAGGCCATATTATATATTATCATAGGTTTAATTGCCCAATATTCACGGGTTATTTTTAGTTCAAGCATATACTCGTGGTGAATGAAATCGAATATCAAGGTATTCGAAACTATAAAAAATATTAAAGTGATTACTGACTATCCCAAGATCATTATTGTATTTTTTTCTTGATACCATAAAAATTAACAAATACGTTAGTATTTGCTGGTTATTGATAGTCTAGGACTATACGGCAAAAAAGAAAATTTGCGTAATTTTTGGTATTTTTTTAGATAAACCATATAATTTCATTTTATTGCAACATTACTGCAGTATATATTATATAATACATGCATGCATATTTTACAAAATATGTACTAAAAGACGACTGTTTCGTAGGTATGTTTTTAGTGTCGACTGTACTGCTTCTGGGATTGCACCTAGCTTCAGGCCAAAATGCCGGATGTGATTTTTATCAACAGGTAAAGGTTTTTATTACACACTATTAAGGAATATGGTAATTAAGGGATTAAGGATCAGATTCAAATACATATTTTAATTAATATAATTTAGTAAAAAGTGTAAAGGACTTATCCTCCTTCTAGTAAAAATAAGTTCCATTGTATATGCTTTATTATAGGTTTTTTAGAAACGCAAAATATATTTATGTGACATTCTAAAAACTATTTACGACTGCCTGAGTCCTGAGAATTAAAAAATCACTATAATTTGTTTAATAAAAAAACTCACTAATGTGTTATTATTAGATTTTTTGGATAACAAAGGAGCCGTAACATGTGATAACTTAGTTACAGGTTTAAACTGCAGCAAATCACCAATGTTCCCACACGCTTTTTCTTTATGGGTGTCGAAACCCCCTCTGATCTTCACCCGACCGGGACAATGTTTCGGAATTTAACCGATTAACATTATACGATAAGCTATACTGCCTCTAAACTAGAAAAAAAAACAGTTTTTTTTCCTATATACATTTTTTCTATTTACTAGAATTCTTTATTTAAAATTATCGGATTATTATCACCTTGTATTTTATATACAGGTAGCTGCTGGCAATTCGTACACTATCAACAGTCCTGGATGGCCAAACTTTTATGGACGTGGTTTGCAATGTCGTTGGATCGTAGACTGTCCTGCAGGTTTTAGATGTCGACTGACATGTTCCGAAATAAATATTCCCCAGGTAATAATGTATATGGCTTTTATTTATCTAAGTATTTATAATGTAAAAAGAAATGCCTTATTTATTTGTGTACACAGTATATTTTCACTTCACTGTATAAAGATACCGCACGGAGCTCACAGGTATTATTTAGGGATTCGGACGAGACCTGTCCCAGATTATTGCTGCCATGCTGGTGGGTGCTTTCTGTGAAGCTGTAATGCTCCAGAAAGAGACCGCTGAACGGGATCGGGAGAGGGCCGATCCCGAGCGTAGACCCCAGACGGAGCCGCAGACTGCCAGAGGCAGGCGACCTCTGGTGGCACTTTAACTGCTGCGGTAGGCGATAGGATGGCGGCCTGGTCGCAAAAATGCGATCGGGCCGCAACATATTATAACGATTGGGCCGATAGGCGGGGGAAGCCCGAAGCTTCCCCGGGGCAGGGCTTTACTGGGCGCGGCGTCGATCCGGGGGAGACCTGAAATAACATGGCCCCGGTCCTCCTCAGAGTAGGGCGCCTGAGTCCGGCCGTCAGAGTGGTTTTTAGTGGAAACACTACATACTCCTGGCTCCTACATCCGTAAGGAGCCGGAGATCCGAAGGGATTTTCCACCCCGTCAACAAAAAAATGTATTATTTAAGGATAGACTTGACTAGATATCTTTATGCAGTGAAGTGAAATGGAAATATACTGTGTACACAAATAAATAAAGTAATCAAATACGTAAAAGTAACAGATTCTCACAACACCAAATTACAGATTAGGTTACTTTAAAAAGTGTGGATGTTTAATTTTTATCGATAGTATTTTTTTAAATTTTCCTAAACCTTTATACTGTTGACAAAAAAGATTCGTGAATAGAGTTTGCACCTATTCATACAGTGACCGGGTTTGTACCTTTTCAGACACAATCATGCACGGGCGATCGTCTAATGGTCTCTTTAACAGGCAACACCGCCCTCACCGACGCTCAGTTATATTGCGGCAGAGGAACCTTGAATGTTTTGTCTACTGGCACCAGGCTAAGCATGGGTAATCACTTCATATTATTATAAATTCATTGGCCTATTTTATCTTATATATAAAATTCTCGAGACGCAATGTTAATTACCATACTCCTCCGAAACGGCTGTACCGATTTTTATGAAATTTTGTGTGCACATCGGGTAGGTCTGAGAATCGGCCAACATCTATTTTCATACCCCTAAAAGACAAAGGTACCCCTAATTTTTCTTTCAATATTTCCTAGAAATAATTTACATATATGGCAAAACAACGTTTGCCGGGTCAGCTAGTATTAATATAAATTAAAAGGCCTTATTTTACCATCACTATCACCGTGAAAGTTAAGGCTCATTCTACTTAATTAACCCACTTAAAATTCTAACAAGAAGGCTTTTTACAGCGCTCGGCCTTATGAAAGTACTCGAAGTCTGACATTTGAAAATCCTAAATCATCATCATCATCAACAGCCTTTAATAGTCCACTGCTGGACATAAGCCTCTCCTTAGAAAGGAGGTTTTGGCCTACTATACCACGCTGGCCAGACGGGTTGGTATAGGGTTTGTGTCAAGTTTTCCTTCTCTCTGCAGTGCTGTTGTTCTGCGTAGTTTTTTTCCCTTAGTCGACTCTTACGACACCCACGGGTTGAATAGGGGTGGTGACACTCCGTATTCTTAATCCGTCACCACCAGGAAATGGACAAACTAAGACTAACTAAGGCAGAGTAAGTCAGAGGCACGTGATCATTATCCGTGAAATGTAAATTGTGTAACAAAACGTAGCTTAAGCGTTTTGCTTATCTTTCACGGATTGTTTTTCAATAACTTAATCAATATATAAAGTAAGATAAGATTGAATACTAGATCTAATGAAAATTATTGTCTTCGAAAGGAAAAACTATTATAAATACTTTGTTTGGAGATTAACACAATTTAAAATGATCCGGTGATTTATTGTTACTTTTGAATATATAATACCTGTTATATCTTCTGTATGTATATATATAAAATTATTTAACCACCGAACTAATAAGGGAGGGGGGAGTTGTTATGAGCTTAACGTGTGTATCTGTATGTCTGTCTGTATCATCATACTTGTAGCACCTAAACGGATTTACCGATTTTTTTTAGATTTTTTAACAAAATCTGTTCTGCCTTTTGAAGTTTGTTCTTTTCTAAACGTTGAACCCGCGACTATCAGACACGGCTTCTCTCGAGACTAAATTTTATACATGTTTTTCGCAAAATCCTAATACTTTTTTATTCAAGATGACTATTGTTTTCAGGTCTCATAAGTACCCTTTGGAGTAATGGTGGTAGATTTACATGTCAAATAAGAGCTGAGGGCAGCACTCCTACCCCTCCTAGCTGTAGATGTGGCGACAGGAGGTCGAGGGTAATTTCATTATAAAACTAAAGTAGCAAACCAGCTCATGCCTCGTCTGTTTTTTACGGGTTAACATCATCATCATCATCATCATCAACAGCCTATACTAGTCCACTGCTGGACATAGGCCTCTCCTTAGAAAGGAGGTTTTGGCCTACTATACCACGCTGGCCAGACGGGTTGGTATAGGGTTTGTTTCAAGTTTTCCTTCTCTTTGCAGTGCTGTTGTCCTGCTTAGTTTGCTCCCTTAGTCGGCTCTTACGACACCCACGGGATGAATTGGGGTGGTGACAATTTGTATTCTTAATCCGTCACCACACGGGTTAAAGATGCCTATAAACAGTTACAGCTTTAAATATAGCACTTATCACTTTTACTCCGTTAATAAAAAACAGCTGGGCCTTTTGCCTTCCAAAAACTATTTTAAAACAATGTAACCTTTCTTTAAATATCTTAGAACATTTAAAAAAAGCTACATTAAACTCGTCGCTTTCTGGGCCGAAACCAAGTAGAGCTGGCACTATCGTTTAGAAACATAATAATAATAATAATAATAATAATAATTTTTATTTAAAGTAAAGATTTACAAAATTTGTTTAACAATGATAGCCACACTAGGCTTAGCCTGTATCGAGGCTATCAATACAAAAACGATTATACATTAGGACAGTAGCAATAATTTTAGAATCTTATATAAATCTCATATGAAACAATAGGAAGAGATCGCAGTTTACTACAATCTATATTTATTTAATTGACTAAGTTTAAGTTGGAGCTATGTGAGTGTGTGTGAGTGTGTGTGATAGTTTGTGAGCCTGTGTGTGTGTTTGTGTTTACATGTCTAAGTATGTGTATTCGTCTGTCCGTCAGTTTTCATTCTTATTTTAAGATTTTTAGCAATTGTTCGGTTTCTTTATGGTTAAGACAGCTCATGATTTTACTGATTTTCAGTTTAGCGTCCCGTATTGTATCCTGTTTGATATTATATCTATTGACAACCTTATTGTAAATAAATGGAAACATGAACTTTTGAAAGCGGTTTGCGAAGGATGATTTGTTTCTAGGAACAGGGACTTTGAAAATTCTTTGCTTAAGCATTTTATTGTAATCAGGGGCGTTTAACACGTTTTTATGTGTGGAAATGATGGCTTGAAATATGTATAATCGTCTTATATTCAATACTTGTGCTTCTTTGTAGAGTTCAGTGGTTGGGAATCTCAACGGTTTATTCAACATAACTTTTAAAATTGATCTCTGAGCCCTTTCTAAGATAATCAAGTGTGTTGCAGCTGAGCCTCCCCAGATATTTAAACAGTAAGTCAGGATGGATTGACACAATGATATATATATCGTTTTTAATAAATGTAAATCAGCAACATCTCTAAGTTGTCTTACAACGTAAATTAGTTTCCTTGCTTTAGCTGCAGTTGCCACGATGTGGTCTTTGTAAGAGAGTTTATCATCTAGAATTACTCCTAGATATTTAATGCTTCGTGACCTTTGTATTTTATTACAATTACAAATAGTCTGATCAAAATTACATGTGTGAATTGGAATGTTTGGGCTTAAGGCTGGAGAAGAAGCTGCAGTTTTGTGGTAGCATAAATATTTGGTTTTGCTAGTATTTAAAGTTAATAAATTATTGTGAAGCCATTTAGCTATAATCGCCATACCTTGTTCAGCCGTGGCAAAACAGTTGGCCCAAGTGGAATCATGAAATATTATTGCTGTGTCATCCGCGTAGCAGATCATCTTTGCATTTCTAAGTGGTAAGGTCGTCAGGTTATTTATATACAGAAGAAATAGAGTCGGGCCTAACACACTCCCTTGAGGAACTCCAAAAGAAGTTTCCTGCAAGGTACTGTGCAAGGAGTCCACCTTTAAACATTGTTTCCTTTCCGTCAAGTAACTTCGGAACCAGTTTAGCGCGGTTCCCCTTATTCCAATGCCTTCCAATCTCTTGAGTAAGATTGGAATTGCAACAGTATCAAAGGCCTTTGCGAGATCTAAGAAGATTCCGATACACGCAAGGCCATTGTCTAGATTTGTAACAATTTCATTTGTCAATAAATTTACGGCGTCTTCAGTGGACCTTCCTTTCCAAAAGCCGAACTGACTGTCTGATAAAATATTGTTCTTCTCAATGTACTTAACTACACGTTTGTTGACTACTCTTTCTAGTATCTTAGCAAAGACAGAGAGCAAGGAAATTGGTCTATAATTGTTAGCCAAATTGGTTTCTCCCCCTTTATGTATAGGTACAACAACAGCAGTCTTCCATTCTTGAGGAACGATTCCGGTTGATAAACTTTGGTTAATAATATAGGTTAGCGGTTCCACAATATGATTCTTGACTTTTTTTATGAGTCGGTTAGTAACTCCATCTAGTCCTGGGGCACTGTCATTCTTTAGATTCATAATTATGTGTTCTATTTCTGTATTATCAGTTGGTTCGAAGAAGAATGAGTTTGGAGGAGATGGTGAAGTGTCGATATTTTGTGCCAAAGCTGATTGTGTTGTATTTAGATTGTTTAAGATATCGTTAGCGTATTTTTGTCCTACCGATGTAAAATATTCATTACAAAGATTTAAGGAGTCTTGCGGACAGGAATTTAAAAGTATTAGATCTGACGCAGGTGATTTCGTTACTACTTTTCTATGCGAGATTTTATTAATAGTCTGCCAGAGTTGTCGTGGTTGATTTTTCGAGTTTTTCAGCAATGTACATTCATATTCATTTCGTATTTTATTATTTTACCTACATATATATTTACATATTTTTTTTGGACCCTTGGCTGCTGCAGTGAAATCCACTACCACAGCGCCAAAGGAGTCATCCACTAGCTATAGAACTTATAAATTGATTGAAAATAAAAACGGTATTATTTTTTGACACTTACACTAAAATGAAAGAAAAAGGATAATTTCATGCTAGAAACGACCTTAACTTCCTTAAAATATAACATAGTATAATATCTTTGTTTCAGACTCGCATTGTGAACGGAGTGGAGACAGGAATAAACGAATTCCCAAGTATGGTCGGCATAGCTGATATACGAACTTCTGAAATCAGGTGTGGGGGTGTGATTTTATCTCAATGGTACGTGATGACAGCCGCCCATTGTGTACGAGGGGAGTCCCCTTCCAACTACGCTGTGATCGCTGGAGAACATGACGTCACTGTGGGTAAGTTTTCTGCCTAACTAAAGTTATATATTGCCTTTTTTTAATTCTATTATTTTATTTTATAATTATGAGGCACATTTCTCAATCTTGTCATTTAATTGAAGCTGTTACTGAGCACTAAATTACTGATCATGTATTTATTAATCAGTTATGCGAGCTAAACTAACATAAATTACCCACATCTCAGTCCAAAGTTGCCTGTAACTTATATAGAGCAACACCACGGTACAATAATAATAGTAATATTTGTTGCTCTATTATGCCCTGTATACGAATTATATCGAATTATGTAGGTTTATGGTATGATTATGACTCCTACTGCAGCAAAGACATCGTTTTCAGATAGGGTTGTCATCAAATTTTACATAGACAGATTGTGGCAAATCACAGGAGTTATTAGTGGCTACATTATATACTCCTGGCTTCTGCGTACCCAAGGAGCCGGTGATCCGTAGGGATTTACCATTAAAGTTGTTATACCTGTCATTGTTGCGTTGATAAGAAGTCGAGTACTGTAGTCCCGATCCCCATTCGACCCCCATATTAGGCGGCTTGCTGTATCCAGTATCCCAGCTCCTTCGCTATATTCTTTATTTTCACCAAATGGATTTATTTTCTTCTTTTCGTTCCGTGTGAAATCACTGACATTCCCAAGAAGAGGTAAGATAGGCGGCCGACTATAAAATAAAGCAGCAACAACTTTTGTCAATTTAAATATCAACTACAAATAAATTTTTAAACTCAGAACTGACTTTTTACTTTCAGGTGATTCGCCAGCCACACAGGCATACGCCATCACTTCCTTCAACATACATCCGTGGTTCACTGAGTAAGTAATGTGGCTAAGAAAGTATAATAAGATCACAGAATAAGTAAGCAATCACAGCTGGAAAATATATTTTTTTCGAGCAAGAAATATCTGGTATATAAACAACCATCAAGGAAAAAAAGGGTATTTTTGGGTTGAGGTTTCCTTTGTATTCCTGGCAAAATTTATTAAAAAAAAGACATGTTCAAGAATTTTACGGGATAACAAAGAATACCAGAATCAAAAGCAATCAGCTTTGTCACATAAAACCATTTTCAGATTGAATTATTTTAAAATCTTAATAATTTCATATATTAATTCCCAGCTATTTTTTTTCTTCTCTTTCTGTTACTAAGGTGGTAATTATTGTCCTTTACAGGTCCAATTACGACTTTGACATTTCAATAGTCACTGTGAGGAATCCAATTGTATTTAGTGAACTTGTAGGACCTATCTGTCTACCGTTTAAGTTCCGAAACTGGGACTTTGCTGGAGCCACAGTAACAATGCTAGGTAAGCTGTCTGATTTTTTCAAAGTAATTAATTATAGATCCTAACTTGCCAGCTGCATGGCTATGGAATAATTGAAAAATCTGTAGTTTTCATAAATATTTGCAAATTTACATATACACTCACGACTATAATCCCGTAAGGGTATGCAGACGCGTATTAAACGCCTACATTTTGCCTTTATGATACAATTTTGGTCCTGTTTATGTAAAAGGTAGAACCGTCAAGATTATGTGGGAGGATAGGAGTATATTGAGAGGAAAAGTTAACTAAAAGGGAAGAAAAGGATATTAAAGTTATATTACTTCCACGGATGTATTAGAGAATGTTAGCTATATCTAGACAAAGTCAAAGTCGGCTACCTGCCACTGAGGCCGGCCGTTGAGGTGGTTTTTACTGGAAGCAACACATACTCCTGGCTTCTGCGTCCCCTAGGAGTTGAAGATTCAAAGGGGATACGATACGATACAATACGATATGGATATCAATAATTAAATTAAAATTAAAAAACAATACTTAAATTATAATAAAATAACAATAATTATACAATAATTAAATTACAATAAAAAATCAATACTTAAATGACAATAAATAACATATTTATTTGAAAAAAACTAACAACAACAATACTAAAGGCTTTTAACAAAACAAAGCTAGTACGACTAAGTAAAAATAAAAGTTAAAAATAAAGAAAATAACATGCTTTTGCATTTTTAAGCTATTGCATAGCTTCTATCGCGGTCCTTGGGCACAGCGGTGATACTTTTTAGTTTTGACATCTATCGATGAATAGCAGAACTTTTATTAATGTAATAACATCCACATACAATACCCCCCCCCCTACCAAAAAAATTATAATTGCATTAAGTTTCCTTCAAAATACCTCCCCCTCTCACCCCTCAACTTTTTTTGAGTATCAGGACCCCCATGTTTGGGATCGTGTGAACCGGGAAAAGGAGACGAAAAATCTGGTCCCTAACATGTAACAACACTTCAGTCTGTTCTTCTAAAGAGGGGCGAGGGGGGGGGGGGGTAATTTTGAGGGATGACTTATTTTTTATGATTGCATTGAGGTCCCCACAAAATACCTGCCCCATCTCCCCTCAACTTTTTTCATTTATCCCCCATTTGATTTTCTCGGTTCCTGGAGCACTTGGACCCCTTATCTTTGAGTTCGTCTGAACCGGGAAAAGGAGACGAACAATCTGGTCCCTACAGATTTTTAGCTGATACCCGCGACTTTGTTTGCGTGCAATTTGAAAACGCTGCCTTAGTGGGTTCGATTCCCGAGCCGGGCAAAATTCCATAGGCTTTTCCTGAGATAATTATTTAATACTAGCTGGTACCCACGACTTCGTTCGCTTGGAATAGAAAAAACTTCAATTAATATCAAAGAAAAAAAAATACTGCATAAATAAAAAATAAATAAATAATTATAATTGCATAAGTTGATAAAAAATGCTATGCAATAGCTTTACCGCGGCAGTTTATTTTGTTTTTTTTTAACTATTATTGATTTAGACGTAACGTTAGAACATTATTATCTTCTTTTTAGTTCGGTTACTTAACTGAACTTGAAAGTAGAGTATTTTTTATAAGTTCATAAAGAAAAATCTGTCAATTATCTTAATCACTGATTAAGAAAAAAAATAAACATTTGATCGTAGAAAAGCGTGGGGTGCTAGATACGAATTGTTATAAATATTTTATTGCCATATAAGGTAAGGGCTCCTATTACGGCGGTAGTCATTTAGTTTCGCTTAGGAAAGTTTAAGTACACCAAAATTTAATTTATTTATTCACTGTTTTTTACTTCATCACATATTTCGTATATATCCCGTATATACATATTTGTTCCCATTTGTATCGAGTGTATATTTTAAAAAAATACCGCCGTAATAGGATATGATTTATAGAGATGGATACTAATACGGCGTTATCATACTTGTCATAAATATTTTAAGGTGCCGTTAAAACAACTGAAAGGTTCATAATTTATAAACTATGAAAATCATGCAAAGATTTTGAGTACATGATATTAAGTTTCTAAAATTAATACAGTTATTGTTTTCTTGTGTAGATCATTTTGGTTTGCCTGATTTTTGATAAATCAGAAACAAATAAAAGCAGTGGATACCTACAGAGTATTGTTTTCACTCATATACGTGAGATTATTTACAACCTGTACAGGCATGTACAAATTAGTTTACGTGATAAAAACGTGCTTGTAACTCAGTATATAATTTATTTATTTTTAACTGTGCTTTTTACACAATAAAACTAGCACCTAGTTCTTTCACTCTCGCAGTTCTCGACACCGGGGAAATGCAAGATTAAATTTATGTTCTTACACGAATTATAAAATAATTATCCGTATGAAATTTCATTAAAATCGGTCAATCGTTTAAAGCTTGGAAGCAAAACAAACAACATGTTTATTAACAAGGATTTATTGTACAGAACCCAATTAATTTACATTTCTTACCCACCGTATTGGGAACCGACTACCTCCGTAATAAGTAAAATCGACATGATTGTTAAAATATTAATTTAAAATAATAAATCCCTTAAAAAGAAATACGTTTCCTGCTGTGCAATATTTTGCAGAATTGGCCTTGAGGTGTGCAATAAGACTCCTATGGGATGAGTCATGAAACCAACCTCAATGCCAATGAAGAACACGCATTTACATTATTCTAATGTTTAGCAAGTTTTGATTTATTATTTAATATATTTAAGGTTGGGGTACCCTGTTTCCTGGAGGCCCGACCTCAAACACTCTTCAAAAGGTTGATGTAAACGTGATCACACAGAACACCTGTCGGGCTCAAATGCCTACCGTCACGGACAGGCAAATGTGTACTTTTACTCCCGGAAGGGATGCTTGTCAGGTGAGAAATGTTTCTTTTTCTCTTTTATTGCCGCTAGAATTCCATATTTCACCTTACAGTAGTATAAGGCTTTAAGATTTTGTTTCGATAATAAGACAGTCAATTCAAATAAGTAAATCAGTTTATTAAACTTCAAAACAGTAGATTTAGTATAATTTTGTATGGAACTACGTTAGAACTTTAGGTACACAGGTTCCGTCGTGTAAAAAAGAATACCTATTTTGTTCGTATGTGAAATTATGACAGATGTTTTTTTCTTCTCTAGAACGACTCCGGTGGTCCAGTGCTTTATTCTGATACTACCACTGGGCGTCTCTTCAGCGCAGGCATCATTAGTTACGGCCGATTCTGTGCCTCGAACTTCCCAGGCGTTAACACAAGAGTTACTGTATTGCTGGATTGGATTGTTCAGAATACTCCGGGTGCCAATTACTGTGTTATCCAGTAACCGATCTACCGACCTATATAATGAACTACGTTTTAGGCATGTGTCTAAACAATGACCTCATTTTAAGTGTGTAAGCAAACAATTAAATAATAAAGAACTATTCTTTGTTCTAATTATTCTATTTTTTATTTTTATATATTACCATCTGTATTGTGCCAAGCTTAGCTGTAGCTCATTGTTGTTGCATTGATGAAAAATGAGGAACGAAACTGACGCGAAAATTACACTAAAGCAATATTTGAAGCAGCTTATCTGTCGTGTCGAAATTTGAGCTCAATGGGTGCAGAACTGTTTGAGTTTTTAAGCATACACAAACCAACTTAATATTTTTATATTCGCATGGGTTTGATTTACTTTTTCTAGATTTTCTCACCCCACTGCTTTTGCCAGTGATTTGTAAGCAAAGGTAAGAAGATGACAAAGGATGTTTATGTTTTGCGAGTCATGCCCTTTTGAGATTGTCACTACTTTTCTCTGTTAGGAAGGGCACCTCCTGCAATGATGCGATACAGTGCCTTTCGCAGATATAAGACGGTTTATGATGCTACGAGCTAAGTGGCATCTTGAAAGCACTTACATCTGACTGAAGTCTGACATCAACGACTAAGCTTATTTAAGCATACATGGTAGATTTTTCAGTACGATAAGAGTCTCTCCTCTCAGATTCTCTATCTTTCAGCTGATATCTATTAAGAGGTTTGATTCTCACCGAGGGCATGTAAATTGAACGGTGAACTCTATTGTTTGTTTCGAGACTGGATCGACCTGGAGGAGTTGATATTTGATTGGCTGGAGTCCTGGGTGGAATATATCAATATATATAAGCAACGTAATTACCACTGTACGGGCTCTCTAGTTTGGGATCAGATGTATATATACATTAAACGTGAAGAAAAACATTGCACGCCACTTCGATTGATTTTCGGCTTCTCGCATCCAACTCCTGCCGGCCTGTGGGCGTTCTATACTACGTTCGCCTAGACGTGGGGTCCTTTCAAGAACTCATTTACCCCAACGGTTGTCGGTGATGCAGCTAATATGGACAGCCCATTGCCACTTGAGCCTCCTAATGCGGTGGGTTACGTCTATGAACGTGGTTCTCTGCTGAATCATCTCATTCCGGATACGATCTCTTAGAGAAACGCCGAGAAACGCCTTTAGAGAAAAGCACGCTGAGTGACTTTAAGCCTGTGAACCAGCCATATTGTAAGTGTTCACGTTTCGGCTCCGTATGTCATGACGGGTAGGTCGCACTCATTGAAGACTTTCGTATTAGAGCCCTGTAGGATCGACGACGAGAAATTCTTTGTACCTCTTTTTAAATGGCGCACGGTAGCATATCATATTTGGAAAACTTAATATTTATGTTCTATTAAGATGAAAATTGTGTAACAATGGCTACACAGAACTAAATATATTTATTAAATAATAAATACATATTGATTTAATTTTTAAATATACGACAAAAGAAAAAAAAAACATTTAAAAATATATACAAAAAAGCAGACCACCGACATCAGGTACAGGGACCAAGACACCGATGGTTAGGACTCCAAAGATAGGAACCTCCTTACTATACGAGCCGAGTCAGGAAGGACTGCCTTTTGCAACAGACCCTTGTTCCAGCCGTCCAACTTGAGCCTCTTATAATTATTATTAATATATTTTGATCTGTCACTGTACAAAGGTCTATATATAATGACGGTTTAAGTTATACTAGTCGATGAAATAAAGCCAAACAATTCAATATAGTCGGAATTCGACCGCCAGACTATACATAGTTGCTAGTATATTATAATCATAAATGTTAATTAAATATTCAGGGCAAGATTGTAGAAGGCTTAATACGAAATATTTAGGTCAAGTTTAGACCAAATCTTGTAAATAAATACCATGGAAGGCGTTATTATGTTTATCAGCAAGGTAATTTGATAACATTAATTACGATAGGCCAAAACCTCCTTTTTAAGGAGAGGCTTATGTCCAGCAGTGGACTATCAGAGGCTGTTGATGATGATGATGATGAATTAGGATAGGAGGTTTATTGAAATAGCTAAAAGGAAGAGGTGTTTTTTTGGGCCGGTCTAATAGTACCACTTTTAACAACAGAAATGATTCACTACTGTTGCTCAAAATATGCTGTTAAATGACATGCATGTATTTTCATCTTAGTGGGTTTACTAGGTAAGCCCGAGGAACTATAATCATTTTCCCAATAATTTTAATTTTATTTCGTTTTGGCACAATTCCAGTACTTAAGTCCCTAATCTCGTTTTTTCTTATCACAAGCATGCCATTGTAGAGGAACGGGTTTAATGTCCCTCCAACACAAGGGAAGATTAATCCGGCCAGGCAAGGTGATCATGCCTATTGGACCGCGGCCCAACAGTTAATGTAAGGAAGTTGTATAATTATACATCTACAAATCGGCGCGAGAACTTTCTTTTGCACGATTCAGAATTAGCAGTTCAGTGTATCTCCATTAGATGATACTGAAGTTTGTTTCTATTTCTTTATATGTGGAAGTCACCACAGTATCATTATTAATTTCCTATTTTTTTAGTCATTGGCATTTTGTGACATCGTCTCATCTCACTCACTCATCTACATCTCCATACCACTATATTCGGGGGACATTATCATCCAGATTTTTATTTTTTCAAAATTCTCATACAAATCATGGTATTCGTATAGCTACGATACTAATGTTAAAAAGCGCTCATCCAGAGACGAGTTGAGATTACAGAAATATTGCAAAGGAGCACTAAATATAGATGTGGAATAAATATTCTGATAACATAAGCAAAGACAAAAAGTGATAGACGGATTGGGTGAAAGATTAGGTGGATGCAGTCAAATAAATGAAGAGAACGAGCAGTGTAGTCAAACAATAGAAATGATACCAGTGCGACCCATAGACCCAGTTCATAGGTCCATACTGTTTGATGTAGCGATCCTCATGCTGGTAATACTTTCACATAAATAAAGAAAGATCTTGATATCTTACTTTTCTGTACTGGGTATTTCCGTTTGGATAACCTGATTATTTCTGACAATACCTGACGTGAGACTATCAAATCGAAATAGCTTCTTGTTTCTGACAAGACCTTGGCGCTAATTAAAAAGGCCTCGTTGAAAAGGCAATGCGAATATAGACGCGTTTCCTAGTCAATTTAAATTCTTTTATACCGTGTCTGCCTTATCAGTGCCTCCAATGTAGTTACACGGGCTTAGCATTCGTGTAGATACCATACAATATTTTGCCAATGTTGAAGTACATTTCCGAAACATTAAAAAAGAAAACGCCTAAAAATATTTTAAATCAATTTTTAATCATCGTGATTATAGTAATTAATCTATTGTACACATACCTTTACCACCGTACCACATACATTTCTTAAACTCATACCTATAGTATGTGTTTTAGGCTGAATAACTGAGAAGTGCAATGCGTGTTATAGTGTTATAGTAAAACATATTTAAGTGGAGACTCGAAGTCGCCGTTCTTACCTATATTGTGCTGTCTGCTGCAGCTGGTCTCAACTTTGTGTATAATAATTATCGTAGGTATTATCTTTACGCTCTGCCTAAGCCTACACTGGTAGACCTGGGACCTTAAGACTATTAAAAGTGATGCCTAAGTCTTTTACTAATTAACAAGTTGGCAAAATCAAAACAAACAGCTCACTGGGTGTGTTAGTTCAATTTCTATCAGTAAAATTATTTTAGACTAGCTGGTACCCGCGACTTCCATCACGTGAAATACCTCGATTCCCGAACCAGGAAAAAAATTATAGGGATTTTCTGAGAGGAAAAATAGCCTGAGTTACTCCTCATATAGATAGCTACTCGTTAAACATTACCAAAATCGGTCCTACCATTTTAAAAATTACCCGGAACAAGCAGGCAGACCGACAAAAACATATAAGAAAAAAAACTAACTAACTTAGAATTTCTGATTTTGAGTTAGATTAATACTTTATTTTTTATGTACATAATCGTAGTACACGTTTCTTGCGAGATTTTACAACAAGAACTTATACCGCTTTAAATTGAGCTCCTCGAAATAAGAATAAAATAAAAATCGTGTGAATACATAGTTGATAAGCTGACTAATAATAACATCATTATCAGCTGTTACTCGAGAGCAAAGCAACCTTGACCAAATTAACTCATTTACTCGTATTTAATTCTCTGTTGTAGTTCACTAACTCATACATCATCCACAGCCTTTATTAGTCCACTGCTGGATATAGGCCTCTAATTAGAAAGAAGGTTTGGGCCTACTATACCACGCTGGCCAGACGGGTTGGTATAGGGTTTGTTTTTTATTTATTTTATTTATTTAATACTTTATGCACAAAAAAATATGTACAAAGGTGGACTTAATGCCGTAGGCACTCTCTGCTAGTCTACCTTGGGGTGGTGTAGAGATGAGTGATTAGGTGCACTAAACTCAATGACAATAACGAGACTTAACTAAGAAATACATACACAAAAGGATAAGAGAAAAAAAATGCGGATATAATAACTATCGTTAAAAGTTTCTTACAAACATACATATACCTGTACATCTGTAGACTAACGACTCTCTTCTCCATCGCCAACGCAAAAAAAAAGGGGGTCCTTTTTTTTTTTCTTTTTTTTTCCGTGCGGATGTCCCCTCGGATACCACCTATCGGTGGCATGTCGGACTCGAACCGACTAAAACCGCACGCCGTCTCGGGTACTAATAGCCGGGGAACCAGGTATACCCTAGAAAGGAAGTCCCTGGTGCCCCGACATACCTCGGGTCATCTACAGACGAGTAGACGACCCCCCCCCCCGTGTGGGAACCCAATGTTCCCTGTGCTCCCTGGAAGCGAGCGCGCTTTGCAACGCGCTCGCCGCCACCCCGGCCTGCTTCTGCTAGGGTGACAGATGGCCTCACCTGTCACCCCCAGGCCTGCGCTTATGGAGGACGGAGGTCGTTCTGCGACCTCCGGCGCCTGAGTCGCCTGCGGTACCTGGCCCGTTCCCGGGCCTGGCGGGCCAGGAGAGTCCTAAACCTCTCCCGGTCCCGCTCCGCCGTCTCCTTCGCGAGCATAACTTGCTCGCAGAAGGAGACGGCAGAGTTCCACGCAATCAGGCTATCGAGCGAGAGAACTCCCACTCCGATGGCCGCCACGAGGTCTCACCTCTGCTCAACCCACGCCGGGCACTCTGCCAGCGTATGGAGAGCCGAGTCCACGATCTGGCCATCGCAGTGGTGGCACTCAGGCGTTGGCTCCTAGCGGATCAGACACAGGTGATCCCCGAAACATCCCTTCCCAGTGATCACCTGCGTCAATCGGTATGAGAGGGTCCCGTGACGCATCTCGAGCCAATCCTCCATAACGGGTCTTACCGCCGCGATGACGGCGTGCCCGGCGCTCGGTTGCCCGAGTCGTTCCCTCCACTCCCCTATGATGACCTGGCGGAGTTGGGATTTCCGGTCATCGATTTCTCGAATCTCGGGGCATCGACCCAACTCCCGCGCCTCCTTGCGCCACTGATACAGAGCCGCAAGTGCTCTCGCCTCCAGGTCCCACGGTGGAGTTCCGGCCAGAGCTGGTACCCCCCTGGGGTAGATTATTTTTCAACGACGCTATCATGTGGGGGGGATATAGGGGGGAGGGGGATATAGGGGGGGGGGCTCCGGAAACCTCACACAAGCAATTTCTCTGAAATGTAACAGAGAAATTGCATTACGACCGGTTTTCTGTGAGGCCGTTGTATCGCACCGGTCAAGTCCCATTTTTGCCGAAGCATGGCTCTCCCACGTATAACTTTTTAAATTTAGAATCTTTTTTTCGTGCGTGGTAACTCTGACATGTTTATTACGATTATTAAAAGAACAACGCGTAATATTTGACAAAACTCATCACAAAAATGGGTAAAGTTACGCTGAAACCGCTCGCAAACTTCGCCAAATTTTCAGTCGAGAAAGTGCACCTAATGTGTCAAATTTAAAGAAACTGGAAAAAAACATCTTCGATCTCCGAAAAAAAAAACGATTCGATGAAGCGCAATCCATGAGAAACAAATGCACCCGAGCAACTTTTTTGAAGATGATGCCGAAATTACAGTGACTTTGGAAGGCATTCGTTACAGGAATATGATAACGGAGTTCTTGTGGCCTCAACTGGACGGCATGGATCTGGGCAATATATGGTTTCAGCAGGACCGTGCCACCAGCCACACTGTGCATGACACAATCGACTTATTGCAAACACGATTTCCAGAACACATTATCTCACGAAATTCTGATGTCAACTGGCCACTAAGATCGTGCGATTTAACACCGTGCGATTTTTTTCTTTGGGGTTTTGTGAAATCTCGGGTTTATGCGAATAAACCAGAAACAATAATCAGAGATCCAACTCGTCATCGATGAGATACAGCCACATCTCTGTGTAAAAGTCATGGAAAATTTCATGAAAAGAGTAATGGCCTGTCATCAGAGCCGTGGGGGTCATTTGCCGGAAATTTATCATACTTACTTCCATTCTTTATTACGTCTTCTTTACAGTCCAATAAAAATATCACAACTCTTTCATAAAATATGTGTTTTTATTTTAAAATGACACACATAAATCTTTGGAAGCGAAGACGAGCCTATGCGTATGAGGAGGGCTAGGGCGCAGTGGTCTCTTTCTGTGAATCTGTAATGCTCCTGCAAGAGACCGCTGAACGGGATAGGGAGAGGGCCGATCTCGAGCGTAGAGGATATCGGCGGCGTTATCAGCCGTTGACGGGTCCGCAGGTTACCTGAGAGTGGGGACTTCTGGTGGCAGATTAATTGCTGCGGTAGGCGATAGGAAGGCGGCTCGATCGCAAAATGCGATCATTCATTGGGCCGATATCACATTGATTGGGCCGATAGGCGGGGGAAAGCCTTCTTTCTCCGCGATAAGGTCTGGCTATGCGCGGATCCTCCCCAGAGTAGAGCGCCTGAAACCGGCTGTCGGGGTGGTTTTTAATTGAAACACCACATACTCCTGGCTCCTACGTCCCCAAAGAGCCGAAGTTCCTAGGGGATTTTCCACCCCGTCAACAAAAGGCGTATCAAGACAGGGTTGACCTTTCACATTGCCATACTTAATAAGGTCATTGCAACATTATCAGTTTCAATTAAACAGTTCTACGAATTTTCAAACAACTTTTTCCTCAGCAGCAAATTTAAATAGTTGAAAATATCGTTATCAGTTGCGAAGCCTTCGCTGTCTTTGTTATCAGTGCATTTTATTTCAGAGTCATGCGATTATAGGCACACATTCTGATTTACTGTATACTACAGTTAACACATTACTTATGAGCTCCTTTGGTGATTGTTTAAGTGTTTACTATATCGATCAGTTTAAAATAATAATTAAAGAAAGTTTAAAAACAAAAATCATAGCAGATGTATAATTGTAAGTTATTCAAAAAAAAAAATTAGTGTGGTGTTACAAAAATAAACGGAATTTGTATTTCGAAGACAGAATTGATTAATGTTAATCAATGTTACCTAAGGTAAGAATAAATAGCCTGTAGCAAAGGTACTGCCTTCAAAGTAGGTACTACAATTTGCTTGCTGCTACCAAAAATTAAGAAAGGTATCTATTCCAATATGGACAGTAGAACTTTGGTTTAAAGAATACTCTTCTCTTAAGCCTGTTGTTCGACTGGCCTGTTGGTCTAGTGGTTAGTGACCCTGACTGCTACTCCAGAGGTCGTGGGTTCGATTCCTACCCAGGACAAATAATTGTGTGATGAGCACGGTCATTTGTTCTGTGTCTGGGTGTAATTTTTCTATAATATGTAATATGTATGTATTTAGAAATATACAAGTATGTTTATCAGCAGTCTGGTTACCATAGTACAGGCTCTGCCTAGTTTGGGATCAGGCGGCCGTGTGTGAGATGTGTGAAAATATTATAAAAATATTATAAAGCTTGAATTTTGAATTTATCAACAAGAACTGATACTGATTTTAAAGTAAATTTGTATGTCCCGATGTTAGCTTATGAAAGCAATTACGCACCTGTGTCGAATTCCTACCTGAGTTCACAGGAATTTACTTCTTGGTTTGATTTACATCCAGCTACAGGAGGACTACATCCAGCAGTGGACTATGAAAGTCTGTTGTTGATGATGATGACTAATTTATCTTTTATCGTCTTCCACCCCTTTCCATGTTAGCCCCGGTGAAATGATGACCAGTGAGGGGTTCCACTGGACAAAAAAAAATAGTTTGAGGGAACTTGGTGTTTTTTTTTCACGCGTAGGATAGTTTTTTAATGACTGTTTTAGTAAGCCATAGTAATGAATATTGGTAGAGTTTTTAGTTTTATCTGGGTTATTTAATTTTTCGAGATCAATTATCGTCACTTATTACATAGTGTAGTAAAAAGACCCTTTACCTCCTTTCTAAGGGGAAGCTGTATCCAGCAGAGGACTATTAAAGGCGGTTAATAAAGATGATTATAACCCACTGCAAATGAAAAGAGAATGCATACAATAAACATTTTCTGCTATACGAATGGTTAGAGCCTGCTTGGTTGGTTTTTATATATATTTTCATTCTTAATCATAATTTGAAATAATGAAAAGAAATAATACCTCTTACAAAGAAAACTTTTTTTCTTTATTTGCAATAAACAATTAAATTAAACGTAATTAAATGAAAATACCAATATCGCAGGGTTCAATAACCCGAATTAAAGCTGTTATATTACTCTAACAATAGTTTAGTTCGTGTTTGTGAAGTTTTGTTTTGTTACCATATGATCATAAAACAGACATTGAAAAAAAAACAAATATTTTTTCTTGGAGCCGTCTTATATCTTGTACAGTTAACTTGTAGTTAAGTGCACGGATGGCGTAGTGGTTTAAGCGGTTGCATCGCCGGTTGCATAGCCACACTACACTTTCGCGGTATTACATTTTGATCGTTGCCTTAAATGAACCTTTACGGTGACGTTAAAAACCTGCTTAACGACTTCGGTGGCCCAACTAATAGGCTATTACGCAAAATTCACAGGTGTGTCGACCAAGAGGTTATTGATCCCGACTGCTGTGCCAGAGGTTGTGGGTTCGATTCCCAAGTAGAATTTTTTTGAATAGCAAAAGCAAGTAATTCATCTATAGTGTGTAGGTATTTAATATGGTCATCAGCAGTCTGTTACTAAAGCACGGGCTCTGTATAGAATAGTCAAATTAATCTGTACATAGGATATTGAGTCACAGTTTTTTTTAAATTTATGTCAGTCAGGCGTAAATAATATTATTCTGTTATCTACATTGTCGTTCAATTGGGTCAGCTGATATTATAAAACACAGTGCAACTTATAAATAAAAAAGGTTGATTGAATGCTCTCTAAATAAGAGTGTATTCTCGTATTATTACTTAATTTAGTTTGATGATAATTGTAATTTTCATTAACTTACTAACCAATAAATGCTATTATTCTGTTGATTTACCAAAAAAAAAAATTTTGAGTTGTAGTGTTGGAGAAGTCCTTTTTAATAATATTGAAACAATATTGAATATTTTACGGGACCTCGTCTATCGGGTCATCTAGTAAATAACGGGCCTGTAGTTAGGCCTGTTTCAGGTTTGTTAAGATGTGTACGCCACCGCGATAAACTACATAAAGAAGCTAGAATGTCACCTAATAACCCAATAATACTAACAACCTATAAAAGATATCGTAATTTCTGCAACAGTCTACTTAAAAACTCAAAAACCTACATGATAAACACGAACTGGATAAAGCAAAATATAATACAAAGGCACTATGGAATAAAATCAAGGACATTACCAATACAAAAAAGACATGTGCACCCCCTACGGAACTGCTTGACAGCAAATCTGATTTGAAAATAGCCATAAATAGTATTTGCAAATACTTTGCTACGATTGGCTCTGACTTAGCAGCAAACCCCCCCCCCCCTAAATGTCACAATTGCCTTTAAATAAAAGCAATCATAGTAGCTCCTTCGTAATGCTTGAAGTAGATGAGTCGGAAGTAGAGTCCACCATTATGAACACGACAGTGCCACGGGCTTTGATGGCATAGCGTCCTTGCTCTTAAGGGTATGTAAGAATACTCTTGTTCCCCTAATTACTCACATCATAAACACTTCAATAGCAATTGGAGTATTTCCGGAACCTTTTAAGAAGGCGCTCATTCATCCGATCCACAAGAGCGTGGACAGAGACTCCATCAATAACTATAGGCCTATTTCGGTACTTTCAGCCCTCTCTAAGGTAATGGAGAAGCTAATTAACGGAAGACTAGCTAACTACCTTAAGAAGTACAATATTATAGCTCCCAATCAATATGAATTTAAAAAAGGGGTTTCTACTCAAGATGCAGTCTTAGATCTAACAGAGCATGTAGCAAGAAAATTAGACGCAAAACAAAAATGCCTTGGTATTTTTATTGATCTGAAAAAAGCATTTGATACGGTCTCTGTCCCCACTCTTCTTATGAAACTGGAGTCAATAGGTATACGTGGAAAACCCCTAGACCTTTTTAGGGATTATCTTCAAAATAGAAAAATAGTTGTTAAAATAGGTTCATGTATAAGTGATGAAGAAACTGTTACGTATGGTGTTAAGCAGGGCAGTGTGATTGGGCCTTTCAAATTTATATTAATTGGGTCTTTCAAATTTATATTAATGACCTATGTCTTCTGCCGTTGCGAAAGTCAAATATCCTTACTTATGCGGATGATACCGCGATTGTTATCTAAGGTAATACGTGGACAGAGGTCAGAACCACTGCAGAGAAGTCCTTGCAAACTGTTGCACACTGGCTTTGGCTAAATCTGTTAACCCTGAATGTAAGTAAAACAAACTTTATGCCTTTCTGTATTAACAAGTGGAATAAAATTGCAAGAGACTTTATGATAAGGGTTCATACATGCTCTGATCCTGTCCACTGCTCGTTCGAGGCACTTACCTGTGTAAATCATATAAAGTATCTTTGTGTAGTGATTGATAGCGGATTGAAATGGAACGATCATATTGAAAGTACCGTTTTAAAAATTAGGAAACTTGTATATATTTTCAAATCTCTTAGATACTGCGCAGATATGGATACTATGAGAATGATATACCTTTTTTTTTTTTTTTTTTTTTAACGCGGGGAATGCTTTTCGCACCATACCCTCCGTTGGGGAAACGCAGGGCGTGTGTGGGACTCCCGGAGAACCGGTCTACCCACTAAACCCCGCGGCGGCCTACCTCGGCAGTCAGGAGGACCTCCAGGAACGCATCGGCGGCTTCTGGAGTCCTCCCTGCCGTACCCCATGTCTGAGGCACATCCCGGGGTGACTGTAGTCACCCTAGGGCGGGAGGCTGCCGCGCCTTTCACTACTCTATACAGTAGGAGGCACAACAGCGCCCCGCCATGGACAAAACTCCCCGGCCGCACCGGAGTGTCGTCTGTCTCGGGTCGTTTGCAGCGGCCACATAGCCCCAAGATGTGGCCGCAGCGACCCTTAGGCGGCGATTGGGAAGCTAACGACCTCTGCCGCGTCCCCTTCGTCGCCTCCTTCGAGCGGGATCGGCCCTCTCCCGATCCCGCTCTGCGGCCTCCTTCTGGAGCATAACGTCCTCGCAGAAAGAGACCGCGGCTGCCCATCCCTCGCCACTAGCCAGCATTGCCGCGATCAATGCTGGCGGTGACAGGTTTCGTCCGATCTGTCCGACCAAGACTTGACGTTCGGACTCCCACGCAGGGCAGTCCTCCAGCGTGTGCTGGGCGGAGTCCCGGTCGGACCCGCAATGGTGGCATTGTGCCGTGACCTCCCGTCCAATTCGATTCAGATACTCACCGAAGCAACCGTGCCCGGTGAGCACCTGAGTCAATCAGTCCGCAGAGCCTGCGTATGTGCGTTCCGCCTTAGCATTCCGGGATCATGATCTTTCGCGGCCCCTTCACCATTCCGACCGACAGAGCGAACTTGGTCATAGACCATCGCGTCCATGTCTGCCAGAATGTCGAAGGGTGCGAAGGGTTGCCGCCTCAAACGAGATCGTACGATAGCCCCGTACGATCCGTATGGCCATCAACCGCTGCAGGCTTCTAAGTAGAGCCCCGCAGCGGGAGGCACCCGCCAAGTCTTTAGCCCAGACGGGCGCCCCATAGAGGACCATGGATCGCACGACGCCCATGTAGAGACGGCGAACTTCTTCAAGTGGTCCCCCGAGATTGGGCAGCAGGCGATGCAGCGCACCCGCTACCCCGCGCACTCGGGGGACTAATCGGTCGAAATGCTCTTCGAAGCGCCATCGACTGTCCAGGATGAGGCCTAAGTACTTCATGTACCGGCCCACCTGGACTTCAGCGTCACCCACCCGGAGGCATGAGCTGGGTGGTTCCTGGCGCTTACGCAGGCCATGGAACCATATCGCCTCAGTTTTCTGAGGCGCCACTCTCAGACCCAGCTCATGAATCTTTCCCACGACACAAGCCACCCGCTGCTCGGCGAGCCGAAGCACCTCATCGAAGTGTGACCCT